TTTTGATTTTTTAATAAATATTTTTAAAAGTGAAACCATTTTTAGCTTGTGAGCCATACAAAAACAGGCAATGAGCTCAATTTGGCTCAAGAGCCATAGTTTGCCAATCCCTGGTTAGATGAATGGTTCTCAATCCTGGCTCCTCATCAGAAATACTTAACGTGCCATCCCAAAAGATTCTGAATTAATGGGTCTAAGCCCTAAGGTGATTCTCATGTACAACCAGGAATAAGAGATACTGCTCTTAATGTTCCCCCAAGGAACTTCTTAGGATATTTAAGGTTTAATAGGCCTTACATGAATAAAGATTTCTGGGATCAGGTAAGTTTGAAAACAAAGTTTAAAAAGTTTTTTTATTGCATTATTTCTAACAATATTCTCACAAATCTCTAAGAGGGGATATAATAATCTGTTTAATTTGACCACTAGACCCACAGATCTAGTATTCTATGAAGCAATTGGAAACACTGCTCTAAATCTTTCATAAAGAATACTAGATACTAATACTTAATTTCATATAAGTATAGTAAAATATAAGAGCAGAAGTTAATTTAAAAATTGAATAAAATTAGTTACTATCAAAACAAAAATTTTTAGAAGTCCAACTCCTATAAATCTGGACAAATTAAAAATTCAAAAAGCCACAAATAACGGGCAGTTATTTTAAAAGGGAGAGGAAACTATAATGAATCTGGAAGAAAAAAAAAATGAAACTACAATGAAATCTGGGGGGGGGGGAATCAAGGTCAAAGATGGTTTCTACAACATCAAACAACTCAATAAATGTAGAAAATCTGAACACATCAATAACTCTGGAAGAAACTGAAAATAGAATTATCAATGCCATCAAACCCCATTTAAAGAAAAGGAGATAATAATACAGGGTCTCAATACTGGTGAATGCTCTCAAACTTTCAAGAACTTGATAAATCCAAAGGATTTTAGCATTATCTACTGGACAGATAGATACACAATAGGCATTCAAGAAATGTAGTAAACAAAAAAACTGGCATAGGACCTAAATAAACACTTCTCGAAAGGAGAACAAGAGGCATATGTAAAAATGCTCAAAATCACTCATCATCCAAGAGATGCAAATCAAAACAAACAATGAGGTACCACTTCACACCTGTAAGAATGTCTATCATCAACTGATCAACAAACAAGTGCTGGCGAGGATGTGGAGAAAAGAGAACCCTCGTGCACTGCTGATGGGAATGCAGACTGGTGCAGCCTCTGTGGAAAACAGTATAGAGTTTCCTAAAAAAATTAAAAATGAAACTTCTATTTGACCCAGTAATCCCACTTCCAGAAATATATCCCAAGAAATCAGAAACACCAATGAGAAAGAACATATGCACCCCTAAGTTCATAGCAGTGCAATTTACCATAGCTAAGATTTGGAAACAGCCTAAGTGCCCATCAGCAGATGAGTGAATTACAAAATGGTGATACAGATACACAATGAAATACTACGCAACTGTAAAAAAAAGAATTCTTACCATTTACAACAGCATGGATGGACCTGGAGAACATTATGCTAAGCGAAATAAGCCAGCCAGAGAAAGATAAGTATCATACGATCTCACTCATTAGTGGATTATAATAAACAACATAAACTGATGAACAAAAATAGATCCAGAGACACAGAAGCATCGAACAGATCATCCAACTTCAGAGGGATGGCAGGAGAGGGAAGTAGGAGGGTAAGAGATCAACTAAAGAAATTGTATGCATAGAAGCATAACCAATGGGCACAGACAATGGGGAGTGGGGGAAGTAAAGGCGGGACTGGGAGGGTGGGCGCAGGCTGGAAGAGTTCAAGGGGGAAAAAGGGACCTTTGTAATACTTTTAACAATAAAGAATTAAAAAAAAAAAAAAGAAATAGAGTAAACGTATTTTTGAGAAATATATTCAAAACACTGTCGAAAACAAAAAGTCCATCATTTCCATGATACTAGTAGCAATCACTACTACTAAGATTCTTCCTACTTTACCTAACCTACAAGAGGAGAAAAGATGCAACAATATATAACAGAAAAAAGACAAAAAAAAGCTACCAGGGACCACTGCAAAAGAAAAGTGAGTGAAACTAACCCCATTTCTTGCATACCTTCTTACACCAAAGCATCCCATATGACTAACTGAAAGGCCACTTTCTGGACATGATTAAAGACCAAAGCATGAGCTATTAATGTAACAAAATAAACTCTGCTATGCAAGTAAACTTTGCAAGTAACACAAATGAGACAAACAACTTATAAGAAACTAGAAGTTTGTTATCTTATGTTTGACATGGTTAATGCCCACAAATGCAGCCACAGCCTAGGGGTACCATTAAGGCATTATGGACCATGCTATCCAAAAGTGTTCATGTGAATATCAACAATGAAATAAAAGCATTCTATATTCAAGGCAAACTTATAAAACCTAATCGTGCCCGATTAATGAGTTCCAGAGCACAAGAAAGTACTTCACATTGCTAATATACTATAAGCCGCAATACACTAAATCCTCAAATCTAAAAATGAAAAAAGGTTTAAAAATACTTTAAATAGCCCTGGCCAGTTTGGCTCAGTAGGTAGATTGTCGGCCAGAGAACTGAAGGGTCTCAGGTTTGGTTCCGGTCAAGGGCATGTAGCTCGGTTCCAGACTCAATCTCTGGCTTTGGTTGGGGTGCATGAGGGAGGCAACCAATTGATGTGTCTTTCTCACATCGATGTTTCTCACTCTGAGTCTTTTCCCCTTCCTTCCATTCTCTCTAAAAATCAATGGAATAATATCCTTGAGGATTAACAACAAAAAGAAAATAAATAAAAAGATCATTTCTATTAAATGTTTTAATAGGAATAAATAAATGAGTTTTTTGAAATTCTAAATAAAATTGAGTCAAGATTAAAGGTAATGAAGAAAAGTAAAAAAATACTATTTTTAGATTACATAATAACCTATCTAGAAAACCTAAAATATCTGGCACAACATATACTTAGTGGAACATAACTCTGAGATCACCATTATCAGATTTATTTTCAGAACATAGTCCTCTATTGTAGTTAAGTATACTAGATCACAACTTATTTTTTAAATATGTTTTTATTGATTTTTTAGAGAGAGAGGAAGGGAGAGGGAGAGATAGAAACATCAATAATGAGAGAGAAACATGAACCAGCTACCTCCTGCACACCCCATAAAGGGAATTAAGCCTGCAACCCAGGCATGTGCCCTGATCAGGAATCGAACTGGGAAGCCAGGCTCATCTTATTCTTAATAGGGGTAATCTGAAAAAAAGAATTGGATCTGAATTGAAAATAGGGAGGTATAAGGCCAAGAAAAGAAAGTTACTTGAAGTTACAGAACTAACAAAGGCCAGAAGGGTGATCTGAATCTTGTGTAATTCCAAAACTTGTCCCATTCCTCTTCTCCAAAGTATCACAAGGCACCTTTACTTTACCTGATATTTTCTGAAACCTATTATACATCAAGTGTAGGAATACAAAAATGAGTAATATATTTATGTTTTAAAGATACCTAAGTTAGCTCTAGCTGGTTTGGCTCAGTGGACAGAGCGTCGACCTGTGGCCTGGAGGGTCCCAGGTTTGATTTTGGTCAAGAGCACATGCCCGTATTGCGGGCTCTATCCACAGGAGGCAGGCAGGAAGCAGCCAATCGATGATTCTCTCTCATCATTGATATTTCTTTCTCTCTCTCTCTCTCTCTCTCTCTCTCTCTCTCTCTCTCTCTCTTTCTCTCTCTGTTTCTCTCTCCCCCCCCCTTCTCCCTCTCCCTTCCTCTCTGAAACCAATAAAAATATAAAAAAAATAAAGATAACTAAGTTAAAAGAATTGCCCAACTATTTGGTTTAATTTCTAAGTTTCCTAATTCCAACTTTAATGATCCCCCCACCACATAACCATCACATATCTAAACACCACATATTATTCTTTCTATGTGTAATAAACACCATTTAATGCTGGAGATTAATTCCAACAAGATGAAATGCTTGTTCCATTGAAATGCTTGTTCCATTGCATTTTGTTATTGTAAAATGTTATTATTCTAAGAGTACCCAAAAGAGGGACAATCTTCACAAACAACTTTTTGGTGTGCTTTTGAGGCATGTTCAGTCCTGAACACACACACAAAAGGTGAGAAATAACTGGAAAGGGGAGAAGGAAGAGCTGAGTACTAAGTTAATTTCCAAAGCAAACTCTTTCAGTTTGGGTATAGCATATTATTATATCAAGTACATCACTTGCAAGCTTTCTACTTATATTTTAATGTAATCATTTAGAAACATGAATATTTAAGTGACTTAAGGTAGTCATTCTCAGAAATCTTCTAAGAAAATTTCAGGTAATTTAACATCTGTACAACTTAGAGAAATGTGGGCTTAAAATATTACAGTTCAGTGGATTTACATTGCAATGAACATCCATAATCATTAACTAATTCGCAAAAGGTTCTGTATCTCATCTTACCCTGTTCAACATTCCTATCACGGAAAAAATGAAGACCCAGAAATTATACTGAAACACCAAGAAAAAAACTTCAGAAAATCACCAATTTCTCTTTCATCTCTCCTGTTCAGCAAAGTAGAACCCACAGCTGGCTATCTGTTATACTGAGACAAGGGAGAAATATAAAAAGCAAGCAGGGCTTTCCAAAACAACTAGAGGAAAAACTCCCATGCAAATGCCCTAAGCATATGGACCAAAGCAGGAAGTAACCCATCAGGACACTAACTAGGGAGCAGAGTAAAACAGAATGACTCCCATCACCTACCAACCATTCTATGAACAGTATACATGCAGAGATTCTGATCACTTGAGAAGAAATTAATACCCAGGAATATTTGAAATTTAAAAATCATTCTTGAGATAAAGTAATTCCAGTATAAACAGAAAAGTGATTTTCTAATAACACTGGTGACCTCTGACCAAGTAAAATTATGATCAAAACATTTTAAGATAAGGATTCTTTATAAATAAAAACAACTTACCACAATCCATTCAGCAATGTTTTCATAGAGCTCTGGACTAAAAATTGCTTTTTTAAGCCTAGCTAAAGGTCCATCAGCATCTACTAATCTGCACCGCATGAAAACATCACAGTAGCCTCTAAAATCATTGCAAGGGGATCCAGGTTGCAAGGTGATGGTTCGACCCATGAAATGCTTGTTCCATTGCACAGACCCAGTACTGGCACAAGTTGATAGGTCCACTGGAAAAGAAGTACCAAATATAAATTGAAGATCAGATTTTCTAGAGGGCTAGTTGGGAAGAAAGGGAGGAGGAAGAAACTGCCTAAAATCATTATCATGACATGTTACAGACTTTCATTAGTGAGGCTAGATAACACTACTGGCAATTCACCTTAATGTTACAATATCAGTAAACAATCAGGAACTCTTAATGCCTACAATAGCTTTAAAAATCTTCTAACAGTGTTTACATTAATTACTAGAGGCCCAGTGCATAAAATTCATGCATGGGAGGGCGGGGGGGGGGGGGGAGCCCCTTAGCCCAGCCTGCACCCTCACTAATCTGGGATCCCTCAGGGGATGTCCTGGATGGCTGGCTCCTAATTATCACCTGCCTGCCTGGTCATTCGTAACTGCCCCCTCCTGCTGGCCTGGTCGCCCCTCACAACCCTCCCATCCACCCACCCCACCCCCACCCCCCACCCCCCGCCCCGTCAGCTTGGTCGCCCCATACAGCCTGTTGTTCAGACGTTTGGTCATCCCTCAGGCCAGCCCTGGGTGGCTGGGAAGCTGACAGCTGAGGTTTATCTGTGCTTTGGGCCGTCCCTGTACGGCTGGGGGACTGAGGGGACTGGGGGACTCTGGATGCAGGTGTGCAGAGCAGTAACACAATGAGACAAACAACTTATAGGGAACATCTTGTGGCTATGGGCACCACCATGTTTGAGGGCGTGGCAGTCAATTAGCATATTCTCTTATTGGCTGTGGGCACCACCATCTTTGTGATGGTATGAGGGTCAATTAGCATATTCCTCTGTATTACATAGGATTGTCATAAAGCTGGCAGGTTTACCATTTTGAAAACACTGTAGGGACCTAATACTAAAACACAATGCTATGCTACATCTAAAGTTTTTCTCAAGAGGTTCAGGTTAGCTGAAATTATCTGTGCAAAGTATATGTCAGAGTTTAACACTTAAAATAGAAGAGAAAATAAGATTTCAAAGCAAATTTTATATTCTTCTAGTATTTCAAAAGCCTTACTCTTCTTCATACAGCAGACATGGCATAATTCCTTATCATCTTTGCTATCAGAACTGGCACAGGTACACTCTTCCAAACCATATTTCTCACAGATAGAGCCTGCACATTGCTGAAAGGAAAACAGAAAATCAATTATTTAATCCCTAAATAGTCAAGCCTATTGTGCACAGTAATAGGCAGATATAAACCTCCAATGGTAAAATAATTAAGTAGAAATATTAGCTGGGGAAAAAAAGCACAAATTAGTATCAGAAACAGTAATATAAACACATTTGAAAAAGAATAAGTGCAAATAAGATAAGAAATCTTTTAAAGAAATAGCAACTTAAAATATCAAGATATTTACAAAGCAAAAATAGAAAAAGAATAGATGAACATCAATTTTATGTTAGTTATTATGGCTCCTTTATAAGAAGAGAAAAATGAAATTTTCCTCATGTAGAAGGAAGTAACCATTTAGTCAAGAAAGCTTCAAAGGCTTTATATTCTTTTATTTAGGCTATTAAAAAGATATTAATTTATAAAACTTAAAAGTAGCACAAAGTCTCATAACTAGTTGTATAACTATTTTTCTCTAGAGCAATGGTAGGCAAACTCAGTCAATAGAGCCAAATATCAACAGTACAATGATTGAAATTTCTTTTGAGAGCCAAATTTTTTAAGGCAACCAATTGATGTGTCTTAAACTTCTTCTAACGCCACTTCTTCAAAATAGACTCCCCAGGCTGTGGTATTTTGTGGAAGAGCCACACTCAAGGGGCCAAAGAGCCGCATGTGACTCGCGAGCTGCAGCTCGCCAACCATGGCTCTAGAGAATACCAAAAACACACAGTGGAAAGGTAAAAGGCAAGTCAGTAACTAATAGGATGCCATCAACCATATAATACATTTTGACTTTGTAGGGAAATAGATACTGAAACAGGAACTGAGATTAATTTAGCTATGCAGCTTTAACTGTCAACAACTATTCTGATAAAGGTTTTATAAAACTAAATTAAAAATATATACATCAAATGCTTACCCCATTAATGCATACTTGTGTATGCCTATTACAGTCTGTAAAGTTTGGTTTAGGGTCAGATGCTGGGCAGAGAGCTGTAATGCCATTACATATTCCTTCTTTTGCACAATCTGAATCATCCCGACACTTTTCAGTTTTTGTCTTGAATGTACACTGTGCTGTACAACAGGGACCTTGGCTTGGACTAGAAGAAACATTGAATGATTAAAGAAAATTGCTAGGATGTTTCTTATATACATAGATATGGTCCTAAATTTTAAAATATAAATCTTATCTTTTAAATGTTATGTTATTGATATACAACCTCAAATATTAGAATAAGAGACCACTAAATTTCAACATTCTATAATATTAAGTACAAAAAAGTAATTGTCTCATTTTTATAAGCAAGCATTCTTATTCTATTTGTCATTAGTGAAAGGCTAGAATAAAAAAAATGGATTTAATATTAGGCAAGTTATCAGTGTTCTTTATAATTACATCAGACATTAGTCAATTTATCAATTTCCTCACATTTATATGCTAAAATCAAAGTAGAAAAAACAAACCAGTATTGCATAAACAATATTCTATTGCTTATATCAATTACTAGCAAAGTAATTTGACAAGTGAAACAATTATATGATACTAAGTTATAAGAGTGATATGGCTCAGTGGTTGAGTATCGACCCGTGAACTAGGAGGTCAGGGTTTGATTCCATTCAGGGCACATGCTCAGGTTGCAGACATGCAGGAGATAGCCAATCATTAATTCTCTCTCATCATTGTTGTTTCTATCTCTCTCTGTGGTATTTTGATTTCCTCTCTGAAATCAATAAAATATTTTTTAAAAAGAGTATATGGAATCCAAATAACTTAAATATTTAAAATTAAGATTCTATAAATATGGATAATCATATTTTTAAATTTAAAAAGTAAATAAAATGTATTTCATTGAGCATCTTTTGCATGTCCTTTTAACACCCCCCTTAACACTACAATTACATGTAGTTCAATCTGCCAACAACAGTGCACTAACCAATGCTATGGAATAGAAAAATATATATATACTAAAGGCCCAATGCACTAAGATTTGTGCAAGAATGGGCCTTCCTTCCCCTGGCTGCCGGCACCACCTTTACCCTGGCCAGAACTGCCTTTACACTGTGGCCCAGAACTGCCTTTCCACACTGCCCAGAGGCCCGGAGCAGCTGGGGTGGTGCGGAGCGCCTCTGTAGTCACCATGGCGACAATGCAAGCATCCCACTCCTGGCTGCTTGGCACCTGTGTATGCAAATTAACCCACCATCTTTGTTGGGTTAATTTGCATACTCACTCCTGATTGGCTGGTGGGCATCATGAAGGTACAGTCAATTAGCATATAGAGGCCCAGTGCATGAATTTTTGAGCACTGGAGTTCCCTCAGCCTGGCCTGCCCCTTCTCACAGTCCAGGAGCTCTCAGGGGATGTCCTACTGTGGCTTAGGCCCACTCCCTCTGCAGGAGGCAATCAGCCTGATCAGGGAGGGGAAGGTGCCACCCCCATCACCCTGCTGCTGCTGCCACTGCTGACCACCGCGGCTGCTAGCCCTCCTCAGGCCTTGCAGCCTTTGCGGCTTTGCACTGAAGGACATATGGAAGACGTATGGTTTATCTAGTCTAATTAGCATATTACCCTTTTATTAGTATAGATTGTGGGAATAAAACAACGAATAAAGCCAAACAACAACAAATAAAGATTAAGTTTCAAAACCATATGCATCTCTTAATTTGTTTTAAATTTTCCCTAACTGCCTTCAGGTGACTTTAAAGGAACATAAACATGACTGGAATTAGCAAGGCACCTGCACTGTTTTCCAGGTTTTAGCTTGCATTTTTTCCCTTCTGGCTGGTTTGCATCATAGCAGCACTCATCTTTACACTGGTCACTATAGCCACAATCACATTCTTCACCTTGCTCTACCATTCCATTTCCACAAATAGGTTGGCCAGATTCTGAGGAAAATAAACAGGACAAAGTAAACATTGTATGCACATATTAATTTTTTAAAATTCACAAAACTCTTTGGAGTCAGGAAAACTTTGACAAGAAAGGTAGAAGAACCTAGGATTGTGGAAATTAAGAAACATATTACTAACAGTGGTTCAGTCATTAACTAACAATATGGTCTGGGCAATTTGCTTTCCTTTTTTGGGCCTCAGTTTCTTCATCTGTATAGTGAGGGGATTTGGCCTGACAGTCTCTTCTTAGGTCCCTTCTAGAAGTGGTGACATCCTATTTAGGCCATATCACTGAACAATGATAGCACTATTTATATTACACAAATACAAAATAAGTTAGTGATTTATCAACCAGAAACAAATTAAACTTTTTTTGTTAGACAGAAAATTTCAAACCTACATAGAAGCAGTAATATAATAGGTACAATAAACTTCTACATACCAATCACTTAGCTTTAACAACTATTAATAAAAAAACTCCTCTTAGCATACTCATTTGTTCTTGTAAATAAGGGTTGGGGAACTTTTTTTCTGCCAAGGGCCCTTTGGACATTTATAATATCATTCACAGGCCATACAAAATTATCAACTTAAAAATTAGCCTGCTGTATTTGGCTAATTCACCCCTAATGTCTTGGCAGGATCAGACCAAATGATTTTGCAGACCTTATACGGCCCTGGAGCCAGACATTCCCCACATCTATTGTAAATTCTCCAGGATGAATCTAAGATAAATTTTTTTCTTTTAAAATTCTAACTATAATACTATTATCATTCCTGACAAAATTAACCATATGCTTAATAGCATCTAATTGCCAATCCATGTTCAGTTTTACTAAACTATCTCTTTACAACTGGTTTATCTGAACCAAGTTCTACAAAAGTCTCCCCTACACGCTCTCCTGAAGAATGCTTTTGGTTGACATGTATCTTTAGTTCTTTTAATATATAGCAGATTTGCTCCTCTTTTTTTTTTTTTTTTTTTTTTTACATGCTTTATTCGTTAAAGAAATTGGTCATTTTGTTCTGTGGAATTTCCCACATTCTATTTGACTGGTTGTGTCTTCCTATATAATAAAAGGCTAATATGCAAATCAACCAAACAGCTGAACAACCAGTCACTATGATGCACATTGACCACAGGGGGCAGACACTCGACACAGGATCTGCCCCCTGGTGGTCAGTGTGCTCCCACAGTGGAAATGCAGCTCAGTCAGAAGCCAGGCTCGTGGCTGGTGAGTGCACTGGCAGTGGTGGGAGCCTCTCTCACCACAACGGCAGTGCTAAGGATGTCCGATTGCCAGCTTAGAGTGGGCCTAAGCTGTCAGTTGGACATCCCCTGAAGGCCCCCAAAATACAAGAGGCCACAGGCCAGGCTGAGGACACCACCTCCCCCAAGTGCATGGATTTCATGCACTGGGCCTCTAGTATTCTATAAGTAATTATTTTAAAATTTACTTTAGTTTTGCTTCTTAAAGCAAAGCAAGAACCATGCATTATTTATATCTTTTGTATTTCTACAGAGCCTATTAGTATTGGGTCAAATATCTTGGTTCATTAAGGTTATACTGCCTAGCTAAAGCATAGTAAATAATTTCTTTGGAAAAAACTTTAGGATCTCTTTTTAAGTTATTTCATTTTGTCAGTGAGGTTAAAATTAGAACAAGAAGGCTACCCTTTATAAGATCATAAAATTACAGAACGTCAGCACCTGCAGGGAAATGATAAGAATCAAATGTCTGTATTTTACAGAAAAGAAAACTAACTCCCAGAAGAGTTTGTGATTTGCAGGAATCCATATACTCCAGTATGGGCAAAAGACTAAACTTAAGTCTAGATCTAAAATCTGGTGCACTTTTCTTTCCACACCAAATCAATGTGGAAAACAGTTGTAGTACAGGCTTCAAATGGAGAAATGAGTAAGCAGAAGGAAACTCAACACGAGAAATATCTAGAAAGTCTAGGTTTATATTCATAAAGTTCATTCCTACCTTTAACAACATCAAATATTAAAGGGAATCTTAGCAATAATTAAATCTCTATTCTTCTTTCATTTTATATCATCCCTTTGTTTTATAAAAGTAGATACATGCATATATACACACACATATATACACACATTAAATAAACAATGACTTTTCTAAAGCCTACTAATAATCAGTTTATAATTCATGTGACATATAATTAAGAAGAAAAATGATAAAGTTAGAAAGCCTATGATACATTCACTATAATAATTTACAACTCATAGAAATATTACTTCAATCAGCTGCTTGCTAACAGCTTAAACACAGAAAAAGGTGCTATTTAAGTGCAAAAATTATAATAGGTACATATTTCATTATAAGAAACAAACTTCCTTCCCTTAACACTTGCAAAGCAATATGCTCATTTTTAAAACTCAAATCCAACTAGAAAGTTTATTGTGAAAACCCAGTTGAAAAATCAAGAATGTATGCAGCACTTCCATGTTAAAAGCTTTAGAAAAGCTAAATTGATAACAAAAATGTCAACATCAGTGTAATTTTAATCTACACTTCTAAAAGAAAAAGAAGGCTTTAAAAGAGAAAAAACATTCAGTAAAAGTAAATACTGATAATTTGGAACTTATCAAAATTTAATTTTGGTCTGGGAAATATTCTGTGAAAAAAGATAAAACGAAGAAACTACTCGCAGATCATTATATGATAAATGACAATTTTCTAGACTGTATAAAAAAACTCTCAAAATTCAATAGAAAAATAATACAATTAGAAATGGCTAAGAAATATGGACATTTTACCAAATATACACATAGAAAGATGTCCAGCATCATTCATTAGTCATCAAGAAAATAAAATTTAAAACCACAATGAGATATCACTATATATATATCAGAATGGATAAAATAAAACTATTAAAAATACCAAAAGCTAGCAAGGATGCAAAGAAATTAAATCACTTATATACTGCTGATGGGAATGTAAAATAATAAAACCACTTCCCTAGCAAGGTAGGTAACTAGTTAGAACATTATCCCAATAACCCAAGGTTGCAGGTTCAATACCCAGTGAGAATACATACAAGAATCAACCAATGAATTCATAAATAAATCCTATCTAATAAAAGAGTAATATGCAAATTGACCATTACTCCAAGACACAAGATGTTTGCCCCCATGTGGACACAAGATGGCTGCCACAAGATGGCCTGCAGGGGAGGGCAGTTTGGGATTGCCAGGCCAGCAGAGGAGGGCAGTTGGGGGTGAACAGGCTGGCAGAGGAGGGCAGTTAAGAGAGAACAGGCCAGCAAGGGAGGGCAGTTGTGGGGACAGGCCTGCAGGGGAGAGCAGTTGACGGGGGGGGACCAAGCTTGCAGGGGAGAGCAGTTGAGGGAGGAACCAGGCTTGAAGTGGGTGGGGGGGGACCAAGCCAGCAGGGGAAAACAGTTAGGGGTGGGGCAGTCCTGTACGGGAGGACAGTTGGGGCAACCCAGCCTGCAGGGGAGGACAGTTAAGGATAACCAGACCAACAGGGGAGAGCTGTTGGAGGCAACCAGGCCTGCAGGGGAGGACAGTTAGGGGTGACAAGGCCAGCAGGGGAGAGCAGTTAGGGGCAATCGGACCGGCTGGGGGGCAATTAGGCATAGATCAGGCTGGCAGGGGAGTAGTTAGGGGGTGATCAGGTAGAAGCAGTTAGGGGTAATCAGGCAGAGCAGTTGGAAGCCAGGAGTCCTAGATTGTGAAAGGTCCGTCCAACCACCCATTTAGGCCTGATCCCAGCCTAAACAAACATCCCTCAAGGGGTCCCAAATTGGAGAGGGTGCAGGCTGGGCTGAGAAACAACCCGCTCCTCCCTCCCCCCATGCACAAATTTCACGCACTGGGCCTCTAGTGTAATAATAAAGCGCGCGCTCGCGCGCTCTCTCTCTCTCTCTCTCTCTCTCTCCCTCTCCCTCTTCCTCTCCCTCTCCCTCTCTCTCTCTCTCTAAAAATCAATAAAAAATTTTTTAAAGAATAAAACAGTAAAACCATTCTAGAAAACAGTTTGGCTGTTTCACATAAATGAAAACAAATAATTACTATATGACCCATCAATTAGATTAGAAATAAAAATTGATGTAACATAAAAAACCTATATATGAATGTTACTTGCCGTTTTATTCATAATCGCAAAGAACTGAAAATAGCTCAGCTGTCCTTTAACAAGTTAAACAAACTGTGCTACAAACATTCCACAGAACACGATTCAGAAATAAAAGGAACACACTATTCATACAGGCAACAATTTGGATGAATCTCTGAGAATTATACTGATTGAAAAAAAAACAATCCCAAAAGATTACATGTGTTATATGGTTCCAATTATATAACACTAGAGGCCCAGTGCATGAATTCATGCATGGATGGGTCCCTTGGCCTGGCTGGCGATCAGGGCCAATCGGGGCAGGTTGGCCGGGAGAAGGAACCATGGAGGTTGGTCATAGGAGCACACTGACCACCAGGGGACAGCTCCTGTGTTGAGTATCTGCTCCCTGGTGGTCAGTGCGAATCATAGTGACCGATCAACTGGTCGTTCAGTTGCTTAGGCTTTTATATATACTAGAGGCCCGGTGAGGGCCCCTCAGCTTGGCCTATGCCTTCTCGCAATCTGCCCTTTTATAACCTGGAGCCCTCGGAGGACGTCAGACTGCGGGTTTCGGCCCAACCCCCGACATCCCGAGGGATGTAGTAGTACCCAAAGTGGCAGGCAGTTGGGTGTCAACGCCACTCCCACTCATGCCAGCCCCGCTGCACCTGCCGCAGCCGCTCAGTAGCGTGCTGCTGGGAAAGCAGGAGAGGATCATGATACCACCACAGCTGTGCTCACCAGCTGTGAGCCCAGTGTCTGGCACCCATCAGTCAGCTGAGTAGCGCTTCCACTTTGGGAGCACACTGACCATCAGGGGCAACTCCTATGTTAAGCATCTGCCCCCTGGGTGATAAATGTGTTTCATAGCAACCAGTTGACCATTCAGTCATTCAGTCACTTAGACTTATATATATTTCTGAAGTGACAAATTTTTAGAAATGGGGACCAGCTTACTGGGGAAGTGAGGAGACAGCAGGAGGAAGGTGAATGTGACTATAAAAGGGAACACTGGGGGTTCTTTGTGGTGACAGGCTGTTCTGTACCCTGACTGTGGTGATGGATACATAAACCTACCTACTCGTGTTAAAAAACTGTATAGAACCAAATACACACACACACACATACACACAGAGGGAGGGAGGGAGGGAGGGAGGGAGGGAGGGAGGGAGGGAGGGAGGGAGGGAGGGAGGGAGGGAGGGAGGGAGATGAGAACAAGAAAATTAGGGAAATCTGAATAATCTGTGTATTGCATCAATGTCAATATCCTGATCATGATACTCTACTATTCAGTTTTACAAACTGTTACCATTGGGTGAAGGACACATGGAATCTACTATTTCTTATAACTGAATGTGAATCTAAACTATAAAAATTAAGGTTAAAAACAGAAGGCCACAATGTTACTCAATTACATCTCAATTTTATTTTAAAGCCAGCTTAAAAATCAAAAGGCCCTGTTTATATGGAAACCTCCCTCAATTCTTTCTCCTTTGCTGTCATATTTAAACCCATCTCTGTGAGCTCTTTATATACAAGAAGAGCAGCTTCAATTTTGCCCTCAAGTAATTTATAATTCTGCGAAATAGGACAAGAATTCCCCCCAAAAAAACTAGATAGATTATTTAGAATATTAAATGCCATTGAGAGGCATAATAAATAAATGGGTAATTGTGACATATCCATATAATGAAATATTATTCAGCCACAAAAATGTATGCAAATCTGCAATGGCCAGTTTCCTCACTGGTTAGAATGTCAGCCTGTGGACTGAAGGGTCGTGGATTTTTTTGTTTTTTAAATATTTTTTTTATATTGATTTTTCACAGAGAGGAAGAGAGAGGAATAGAGAGTTAGAAACATCGATGAGAGAGAATCATCGATCAGCTGCCTCTTGCACACTCCCCACTGGGGATGTGCCCGCAACCAAGGTACATGCCCTTGCCCGGAATCGAACCCGGGACCTTTCAGTCCGCAAGCCAACGCTCTATCCACTGAGCCAAACCGGTCCCGGCAGGGTCATGGGTTTGATTCCCAGTCAAGGGCATGTACCTGGTTTTCAGGTTAGAGGCACATGCAGGAGGCAATGAGGCAATCATCAATTTGTTTCTCTTATGTCGATTTCTCTCTTTCTCTCCCTCTCTCTTACCCTTTTACTTTCCTTCCCTCCCTCTCTCTCCTTTCTACTCTCTAAAAATTAATGGGGGGAAATATCCTAGGGTGAGAATTTTTGAAAAAATATTTTTTAAGGCTTAGAATTTTCTTAAATATGGCAACTGGATACATGCTGCAACTTGGATTAATTCTGAAAATATTATGCTAAGTGTCTGATATAACTTGAACACTGAAAATACTATGCTAAGTGAAATAAGCCAAAATTACACAAATACAAATACTGTATGGTTCCACTTATATGAAGTATCTGGAATAGACAAAGTCATAAAGGCAGAAATAGATGAGAGGTAACCAGGGGAGAGGAGAGAGTGGAACAGGAGTTATTGTTTAATGGTTACATGATTCCTATTTGGAGTGATGAAAAGGTTTAGAAATACATAATGGTATGATTGCACAACACTAATTTTAATTATACTTAATGCCATTGAGTTGTACACTTAAAATTAGTTTAAATACATATTTTTGTTATATTTTGATACAATAAGAGAAAAAAAAGGAATTTCATAGCAGCCTAATTAATATTGCCCAAACCTGAAAAGCCCAGGTGTTAATAAATAGGAGAGTGGATGAGCAAACTGTGATACTATACAATACTACTCAGCAATAACAATAAGATAGTAATGATAAATCTCAAAATATTATGCTGAATGAGAGCAAAAGTATACAAATTATATGATTCTATTTATGTGAAGTAAAACAAGCAAAATAAATCAGAATAGTGGTTACTTCAATGTGTGTGCTGGGAGCAGAGATTTATTGGAAAGGGAAATAAAAGAACTTTAGGGGGATAAAAATGCTCTGTATCTTGAGAGGTTACACAAGTAAATGCACTTGTCAGAGCTCATCAAAATGTGGACTAAGGATCTGTGTACTTAGCTTACGTAGGAAATAATCACAAACAATACTGAACTCTAATGATATGTATGCTGAACTGTTTAGGGGTGAAGTATTCTTTAAATTGCAACAAAAATTATGGACTAAGGGATGGATAGATTGATAAATGTAATAAGCAAATACAGCAAAGTGTTAATAATCATAAAATATAGGTGATGGATAAATAGGTGTTCACTATATAATTATTGCAAGTATGAAAATATTGATAATAAAATGTTTGGAAAATATACATACCAACAAAACAGTTGTTTCTCTTCTTCTCAAGAACTTGGCTTATATTTCTAATGCTACAGAGTGAGAATTTATTGTTGTTAAGTTTGTCCCCAGATGTTGCTCTTGCATACATGATGTAATTGCCATTTTCTTTTTGTCCCAAATTCTTAGATTCTCCTGGAGTGCACTCTGTTCCAGAATCATGCTGTCAAACAGAATACAGAGTTACATAAACAGGGAAGTAAAATAAGGTTTTCAGGTCATCTGATTAAATGTAATTTTTTCATCAGAAGAACAATGAAAGCTTGTAGACTCGCCTTTAGAAAAGATCTTACAATTGTTTTAGACTGTGAAATAAAAAACAATCTGCTCTTTTAAGGCAGCTGTGTTAGAAGGGAAGGAAAAACCAGTGAATCTCTAACCACAACTTATAGTTTTATAAGTAGGTAGCAGAATAGAGGACAAATTCATAAAAGTCTATTAAAAATTAGTTCACCTACTTTTAAAACTAGTAGGAGGAATATAAATTATTTAAGAACTACTAAATCTTCATTAAAATACATGTTATGGCCAGTTCAGAGAAGACAGAAGTGGGGAAAAACAGGAAACAAGAGAATGCTGTGGGGTTAAGTACATACAGTATAGGCATCTAAGAGCATTGAGGATTTACTATTATATATAATAAGAAAGGTAAGTAAATGCTGAGTAGAAATAGAAATACAATGATCTATTTTTAAATAAAAATTAAGAAAAGCTAAGGTAAAACCAAAACACTGTTTTGTGGAATAAAACAAGAAACATACTTGTCTATGTACAGAAATAGTTTATGATGTTGGTAACTATTCCTAAAGTATCAGATACATACAGTAAAGCACCAAACCACAGCTCCATGAACTTTCCCAAAGTAAATACACTTACATGGCCAGCACTAAGATTGGAAAAGAGAACACTACCAGATCACAGCAGGTCTCCCCAGCTTCTGGGGGATATGCATTTAAAAACAAAACAGCCCACCAGCGGGCTCAGAGGTTGAGCATCAACCTATGAACCAGGAGGTCATGGTTTGGATTACCAGTCAGAGCACATGCCCAGGCTCGATCCCCAGAGTGGTGCATGCAGGAGGCAGCTAACCAATGATTTTCTCTCATCATTAATGTTTCTCTTTCTCAATCTCTCTCTCTCTCTCTCTCCCCCTCCCTCCCTCCCTCCCTCCCTCCCTCCCTCCCTCCCTCTCCCCCTTCATCTCTGAAATCAATAAAAATGTATTTTAAAAACAAAACCACCTCACCATGCTCCACAAACAATTCAGAACTTGTCAGAAAGGATGAAAACAATGAATCCTAGAGTAATACTTCCATTTATAATTAAGTTGTTTTGAATGCCAGACAACCCTACCCTCCAGAAAGAAAAGAACTGCCCGAAGGCATTCTGTTTCTTCCCATAATCCGTGTAAGTCACTTTCATTTTCTACTCCCTAATCTAAAGCAACTATTAAAGCAACTACCGGTAATTTCACCTTTATTCTTCCTGATACCTCTTGCCTTTCTCCTGAACCTAGGTTCAGCATTCAACAACTCTTTACTATTCACCAATATTTTCTTGCTTTATGTTTTCATTCTATAAAATTCAATTTGATTTTTCATAATATATGGCACCAGAATTATTCTCAGCATTAGAATTTTAGAAAGAGAAGGATAAAAAAATCAATACTGTTTAACTCTTGATGTAATCACAGAATATCATTTTTCAATTGAATAACAATAGCATTGTGTTCAATATAATATAAGAAAAAACTGAAATACAATATGACAGTATAAAGATGAGTTAAGCACTGTCCACAGCCCTCAAAGGACTTACATTCTATTTTAAAGGGCTAGCAAATTTTGGTGTATCTGCATAGTCTGCTCCCTGCCCCATAAATTCATTAATTATTATTTTATTAGTCCAGAGGAAACTGTGATGGATCATAGCCAACAAATTATATACAAGTATGCCAGCTATTTGTCATCCTCATAATAGGGAATAAACAAGCACACAAATAAGCAAAACAAAAAATAAAAGTAGCTTTGACTATACCCCCAAAAAGTGTGGTGAGAGTTCAAATAAAGAGAATATAGTTTCACAAAGAAACTATAATCTTAGTTTGATAAGAAAACAGAAAAGCTTATTCCTGACTATGAAAACAACATATATTCCTTTAGAAACTTCAGAAAATAAAAAATGGATAAAGGAAAATTCAATCATCATCCACTAACCACAATAACTATTATTAACATTTTGGTCTATTTCCTACATGACTTGTATCTATTAATGTCATATTTTAATACAAAATTTGGGCTATACTCTGTGTTTAGTTATATAAATAGTTTCTTTCAGTTTAACAGTATAAGGCAAGCATTTAAACACTTTATTTTTAAAAGATTGCAGAGCATTCCATGATACTTTTCTAGAGTGGAGGCACTTAGCATTAAAATTATTTGCTATAATAAATAAAATAGCCATGAATACCTTTTCATTCTATTGTTGAAATGTACACAAATCTTTGATAGATTCTGCATTTATTACTTTCAGTTGGATTCCCAGAGGTAGAATTACTCAGTAAAAAGGTCAAACATTTTAAGGGTCTTGATACACACTGCCAAACTGCCTGTCAAAAAAGCCATACTAATTTACATTATATAGCAGCATGGATCAAGATTTCAATAGGCAGACATGGGAAGAAATTGGCTTCTTAGCAAAAGGAAAGTTTTAAAGACCTATAAATTACTTAATTTGCCAAGAGAGAGGAGAAAACATTGAAAATATACTTGGACCCAAATTATGGAAATCCCTAAATGCTAAGATAAGGAAATTGTATCAATAGATATTATACTAGAAGTAAGCTATTAACATAAGTAACAGGATCAGAATGATCAGAACTATACCTAGATAAAGATTAATCTGGTAATAGTGGACACATATTAGAATTTTCATATTGAGACAGAATGTGTCATTTATGATTACAATTTCCCACAACAAAGCTTATAAAGTAGTTAATAATAGGTGTACAAAAAATATTTGGGACAGGATAATAAATATAAGGGACTAGTGGCCCAGTGCATGAAATTTGTGCACTCGGGGCAAGGGAGGGAAATTCACCAGCCTGGCCTGTGCCCTGTCTCTCCACTATACTAAAGAAGTAGGCCCCACCCACCCACTTAGCACTCCTTGATGGGCTGCCCCAAAGAGGTAGGCCAAAGCCGGGGAAGGCCTGTGGATCCCCGGACCAAGCCACGGTAGAAGCCTGTGGACCCCTGGCTGGGCCTGCAGCAGGACCTCTCCGCGCACCTACAGATCCCCGCTGGGCCCGGGTTGAGGCTTCTCCACACACCAGCGAACCCCCAGCGCAGCCATGCAGAGATGTCTCTCTATGGCAGCCCTGCCTCCATTTCTGACATTGCAAGTCCTCACCCACGGTGCATGCAGCCTGCTGATGGGTCGCTACTGTGACAACGTCCCAACCAATTTGCACATTATCTTATTATTAGTATAGACTAGAGGCCCAAAGCACGAAATTCCTGCATGGGGACGAGGGGGTGTCCTTCAGCCGAGCCTGCACCCTCTCCAATCTGGGACCCCTCGAGGGATGTCCAACTGTCCATTTAAGCCCGATCCTACTGGGATGGGGCCTAAATGGGAAATCCGACAGCCCTCTCACAATCCAGGACTCCTGGCTCCCAACTGCCTGCCTGCCTGCCTTCCTGATCACCCCCTAACCACTCGCCTGCCAGCCTGATTGATGCCTATCTGTTCCCCTGCCAGCCTTTTTTCCCCTAACTGCCCTCCCCTACAGTCCAGGTCGCTCCCAACTTCCCGTCTCTGCCAGCCTGGTCACCCCTAACTGCCCTCCCCGGCAGGCTTGATCGCACCAACTACCCTTTCCTGCTGGCCATCTTGTGGTGGATATCTTGTGTCCACATGGGGGCATCCATCTTTGACCACATGTGGGCAGTATCTTGTGTGGAGTGACAGTCAATTTGCATATTACTCTCTTATTAGATAGGCTAGAAGCCTGGTGCACGTGTGGGTGTCAGCTGGTTTACCCTGAAGGGTGTCCCAGTTCAGGGAAGGGGTTCCCTTGGGGCCTAGGGTGGCCTTGGCAAGGGGCCTGTGGTCGTTTGCTGGCCAGCCACACCCCCCAGCAACCCAAGCTGAGGCCCTGGTATCTGGGATTTATTTATCTTCTATGATTGAAACTTTGTAGCGTTGAGTAGAGGTCTGGGCCCGCCAGAGTGTGTGGAAAGCTTAGCTTCCTCCATTGCCAGGGAAAACCAAGCCTCCTGCTCACTGCATGGCCAAAGCCATCTTGGTTGGGGTTAATTTCCATACTCGCTCCTGACTGGCTGGTGAGCTTGGCTTGTGAGTGTAGCAGAGTGATGGTTAACTTGCATATTACTCTTTTATTAGATAGGATAGAACTACTCAAAGAGAAAATAACATTGGCATATAGATTTACAACAGGAGAGTTTATAAAGGCAGATTTCAGGTAAAGAAAAGAAGGAAGATAGGCTCAGAAGTTTATGGTTCTAGCTGATCTAACTATTAAAATGCTTAATAAATATTTACTAAGTATCTACTGTATATATGAATGGTAACATGAAAAATATGCACAAAGGAATGGGGCTTGTTTAAGAATGGTAGAGCCATTAAAGCTAGTCCGATGTCAAGAAAAGGTGTGTGGCAAAAGGGATGTAATCAATAAGGGCTATAAGGACTATCATAAAGATAGACCAACCCCCAATGGTTTTATGGCTTAGAACCAACAGAAGGCCAGGTCATTCAACAAAGAGACTAATTTCACCTTGCAGTAACCCTAAGCCTCATAATTCTCTCATTGTAATACATTAGCATACTAACAACCACACACACAAACAGAGAATGCAAAGCCCACATAAGGATACAAAATGGCCAACTGTTCTCCTAAGAATCTCCACCCGTTTCCCAGAAAAATCCTGAATACCCTTCCCCCTTATTGAATGCCCTACCCCTCAATTAAATGAGCTCCAATAAAAGGAGCAAGTCCCACTAAGGAGTGGCTGCTCTACTGTGGAGTAGCCACTCTGTCTCACTATTTCACTTATAAACCCTTTTTCACTTTCAAGTCTATGTTGACTTAAAATTGAGTTCTTTCCTGCTCCAAGCCAAGAACCCCACAGTGGTCACAGATCATCAGATCCCCAGGCTCCTGAAATGCCCAAATCAGTATGACAGGAAAAGATGGCAAGAGAGACAAAATGTGTCAACCAACTTATCCATTAAGCAATAAGTAATATAACTAATTATAGTATAATTCATATACTAAAAACACCTCTCCAGCAATGGTAGGAGATGGATTAGATAGGAAGTGAAGAGAATAGATTCAATTCCCTATTCCAAGTGTGGTCCACAGACCAGCAGTAACAGCTGCATCAGGGGTTTCTTAGAAATGTGCAAATTTGTGTCCCACCAAAGACTCATTTAACTACAATCTGTATATTAAGATCTTCAGTAATTTATATTCTTTGAGAGGATCTAGACTAAAGGATAGAAGAGTAGTTAGAAAGGTACTACAATTCCCTTAGTGAGGGCTGGAATCAAAGGAGCATGGAGAGAAGAGAGGACATTTGATTGTCCTGGAAAAAACAAATTAACTGGGAACAACAGTTCTCTGCTCATTTCTAAAAATTTCAATTACTCCTTTTAGGCAGAGCACCACAGCAGTCAAAAGATAGGGAGATTTAAATACATTTTAAATACTTTTCCCAAGAGTATTGATAATAATCTATCAATTTCAGATTGGGACCTAGAAGAGAAAAGACTTACAACTAAGTGAGATGCCACTTACATTTTACAAACTGAAGAAAATTAGAAAAGCACATTTGAGGATTCAAAACTACTGTATATATTTTCCTAAACTCATAAAATTTTCCATTTTTACAAGTGTTAAGGTACAAGAAAAATAAATTTACATGATTTCAAATGAGAATTTCCCAAACTTATTAAAATCCTAACAAAATCACAAAAAATATATTTCAATACTTTGCATTTCTATATTAATCTTTATTTAGGTCACTTAAAAATCAATATAATGAATTGGATATTAAATGATACCAAAATTTTTTTAATTTTGTCACCTATCAATCACACTGGTTATGTAAAAAAAAAAAAATGTCTATTTTTTAAGGAATGTATACTAAAATATTTAAGAATGAATGAATTTGTGTCAAATACCTCACAAAGAAAAAGGAAGAAATACAGAAAGGAAATATAGCAAAATTCTGATAATTTTTGAATCTGAATCAGGAGCTGAATATGAATGCAAGCCACAACCAGTTTTAATATAGCCTAAGCTAAAAATGGTTCTCCCATGAATAAAGGATTGTAAAAACAACAAAGAAAAATATACAACCAAAATGTTACCCCCAAAGCCTAGATTACTCACTAGCTAGCCATATACAAAAAAAGTTTGCTGACCCCATTCTGGATGATAAGCATATCAATCTTATTCCACAGTAGAGAAAGACAAATCTAGTAAACTCCAATAATACTTTAATAGAAACCAAGCAAAAAACTTAATCCACAATTTCCTAACATTCAAAATGTACTTTAAATAATAAAAATTATTCTTATTCAATTAATATTTGAATAAATCATGTACGAGGCACTGGTCTAGGGCCAGGATACATAAAAGTGACTGCAAAAGACAAAATCCCTTACCTTCATAGAATTCTGGTATTGTTAGGTTGACTTTTCTTACTTTAATCATAAATACTCTATTTTCCTTCCTTTCTATATGCTCAAGTACATGACTGTTCTGACATAAAAGCATTCATACATATATACTTTCATTGTAAATAATCAGTGACATAAAAGGTAGGTTAATAACTTTTATTATCTTATTTAAAATGTAGTAATTATGCAATACTTACTGGAGATCCAAAGTTATGTCCAACTTCATGAGCAAAAGTAATGTGAGACACTTTGGGGGGTACATGAGACCCATAGTTCTGAACAGTAATAATTCCAGTGTTTAAGGACTTCTTCTTACCATCTGAATAGAGCTTACTTTTTTCACATATTCCTCCAGAGCTTCCTAATTCAGAGCAAAAAAATGCTAAATTAATATCTATTTCACTCAAAAATAACTTTCTAATATGAGCTATGTAAAATTAATTATTTTATACTTTGAGTCCAAAATACAACTGATTATCCACATATATCAAATACTCAAAAGTTTCTTTGGTCCAATATTAGGAAGTCATTTCAAATAAAAGCTTTCATGAAGAAACTCCCAGGATTGAGTACAAAGCCCTTATAAATATTCCTCTTCATAACCAAAAGGTCTCCAGATTTTTGCTCCCAAAAATTTAACAAAACAAACATCTTTTAAAAGAAAACTTTAAGTGCACAAAAGTTGAATAAAAAACTCACTTCTACAAATAAAAGCAGTGATGCATAGAAATATGTACATGATTCACTATTCTGAGTGACTTTTTTTTTTTTTAAGAACTAGGGTTGCCAAGATATAGTGGTGTGGGGGGTGGGAGAAGTAGGGAGAGGTTGGTAAAAGGTATAAACTTTCAGTATAATGTTTCACTATATATACAAATAGCAAATCAGCACAATGTACACTTCAAATACCTTACAATTTTGTTAATTATACTTCAATAAAGCTATAAAAAAAAAAGAATTATGCGAAATGGGTGAAAAAAAACACAACAAAGGGAGGAGGGAAAATAGGGAGGGTGTATGAAGGAAGGGAGGGAGGGAGGGAGAGCAAAAGTAGCAAAACGTTAATTATCAGGTATTCACTGTAGTACTCTTAAAACCTTTTGGTATGTTAACAATTTTTTTCAAAATAAATTTAAAAAATTAAATTATGATTTTCCAATGTATCTTAAGAATACTTCCAAATTTTAAAAGGAAACCCATACTTTTACTTATTAAGTCATTTTATAGTTCATTAATAGTTCCTGAACTTCAGAGTTTAATTCCAAAATGAAAGTACTTTCACATCTAAATGCAGTTAACATAAGAAATTAGAAAAAGAACATGAAATTCAGAAACTGGCTGACCAATCCATATCTTTACTTACAGTGTACTGAGAAAACCATAGTTCTCCTAACTATTGAAGATTTTTAGTGAGAAGTTCTTTATATTCACATTATAATGTTTTTCAATTTGAATTTTTGTTAAAATACAATCAAACTGATCAAATTACTTCAAATTAGCTAGCTGTGTATGCAAAGTTAGAACCAAGTCATTAAATCTTTCTTAAAAACCTAATATTTAGGCCAGCCGCTCAGTGGTTGAGCGTCAACCTATGAACCAGGAGGTCACGGTTTGATTCCCAATAAGAGCACATGCCCAGTTGTGGGCTTGATCCCCAGTAAGGAGTGTGCAGGAGGCAGCCAATCAATGATTCTCTCTCATCATTGATGTTTCTATCTCTTTCTCCCTCTCCTTTTCTCTCTGAAATCAATAAAAAATATATATTTTTTACAAACCTAATATTTATAACCTCTAATAAAGCATATAATAAAAAGCAATAAAAAATAGATCTTTAAGAATGGCATGATACAACTGCTGTCTTATTCCTTTTAAAATCAGAAAGTATATGGCAGCAAAACATAAATTTGAATTACCATTATGATACAATTTAGGAAGCTGAGATGATAATGTGCTTAACAGAAAAATAAACTGAAAGATTGGGGCACACGCAGATTTTAACCAGCAAGGGATTGAGAATCTTTATGATAGTCAAAACTTACTACCTTTTCTACACAGAAAACTGAAAAAAGGAAACAGCTAATAAATAATTAATGTATTTTCTTAAGATACCTCTACTTTTGGAGATGAGTTCTAAGAACTATATAACTATTTCTAGAAAGTAGAAAAGATAGGAATCAGCACTCTGTATATAATTATAATAGTATACATGTTATAGTTTTGAACAAATAGTAAATTAATATCCTGCCTTAGCGAAGATTTGTCATTTGCAAATTGGTCCAATGTAGTACTGTCAAACTTGAATTAAGCATAGAAGACTCCACACTGCAAATTTATCAGTTAAAAAAAGTAGAGAGCATATATTAAAAACTCTGATAATATACTTTTCTGTATTTTTAAGATCTAGTAAAAGAGAAGTTCAGACATATACATGAGTACTTTTCTGAAATATAGCCTTTGTAATTCATATTTAATGTTTTAAACAACTGCTTTTGGTCTATTAATTATAGGAAAAGTTAATATGTGTTACAGGTTAATAGAATATGTTAAAATAACTCAATTATACAGAAGGAAATAAAATACTATATCTAATTTTATAAGTTAAAGTTTAATTTTTTAATACTGTAACGAGTTTTGATATGCCAGAAACTCAATTATTGGTAAGATATTATATATATTTATAAATAAACCATAAATGAAGTTTAGCAATTGCTTTATATTATAAATTTATAATTTTACTATGTAGGTCATCATTGAAAACCACAATTGTGAATAACAATGAGAAGAGTGAAATGTAAAATTAGAAACTACAAAGGTAATTAAATATCTTGACAGACTCTAAAACTACAATTTTGATGTGAGCAGGCCTAAGTACCTAAAACTTAATAGTAATACGTTGACCATACAATAATGATCTGAGCTGTAATTCTGAAACACAGTAGTACCACTGCCAGATAGGTTATTAAGAACTATCCGAGGGCATTTCTTTGTCTTTCGTGTCTGGGGGACAGTACTCACATGTATGAGTAGGGACCACAGATGTTAAACATCCTGCAAAGGACAATCCAGACCTGAATAAAATGCCAATATTAAATGTTCTGTTGCAACATTCTAATGATGTAATTCTCCTAGCCTTGTAATTAGACTTTTAAACAACAGGTTAAGAATTCAATAGGCTTTTGGTTATCTTAAGAACCCATGATGAGTTCTGTATGTCCTCAAATCCTAATATGTAAAATTAAATGAAAGTTTCTAAAATAAGAAACACAGAAGAGACTATTTCTGCCAAATGAAATGTTTCAAAAAATGTTCTTCAAATTTAATGAACATAAACTGATGAACAAAAATAGAGCAGAGACATAGGAACATCGAATAGACAAACTTCAAAGAAAAGGGGGCAAGTGGAGGAGTTAGAGATCAACCAAAGGTTTTGTATGCATGCATACAAGCATAACCAATAGACACAGACACTAGGGGGATGTGAGGGCATATGCTGGGGGCTGGGGAGAGGTCAATGGGAGAAAAAGAAGACATACGTAATACTATATGTAATACTTTAAACAAATAATTTTTTAAATGCTCTTCACAAATGGCCAGAGGAATACTGAATGGTTCAGGGTTAACTATGAGAGGAATTCCAAAGCTAGCGTTATTTTGTGACCTACTGATAAAATTAAGATGGATAATAAATGAGCAGAATGTACTTAATTATCCCCCTCTAAAAAATGGCCCCTCAAAATGTAAAATAGAACAAAGGAACTATTTAATATAAACAATTTATTTTGTTTAAGGAACCAATGTTTCAGTTTCTGAAGTAAATAAGAGGCTACCCTACTTAACAGAGAACTGTACTTATATAAAGTTCAGAGTAATTTTTCCAGATTGACTTTGTTTTGGAGACCAGGCTCCCTTTACTGGGCTCTCTTTAAGGCCCAGTATAAATTTTATGTTTTTGTTCATCTTCACCCAAGGATATTTTTCCCACTGATTTTTTAGAAAGAGTGAAAGGGAGAGGAGTGGGTAGAGGAGGAGAAATAATGTGAGGCAACGAAGGAGAAAGAGAGAAAAAAACATCAATGTGAGAGAAACACATCAATCGGCTGCCTCCAGCATTTGTCCCAACCAGGGCTGGGGATCGAACCTGAAATTCGTGTGTGTCCTTGATCAAAATTCAAACCTATGACTCTTCACTGCAAAGGCTGATGTTCTAAGCACTGAGCCACACAGACCAGGAGGACAGTACAATTTAAAACTAGAGCCTCCAAGTCAGCCGAATTCGTTAGCTGTTTCTACTTATTACAGAGTTGAAGCAGAAGGTACTATTTTCCTCATTAATAAAACCCAAGACAGCACCCAACTATAGTATGAAATTAAATTCAAACAAATAAAAAGTAGTGTAAAAAAGTCTTGACAGAAAACCTACTATTCAATGTTTAACCCTTTGCACTCCGAACCATTGGCTACCAGCTACTCAACGCTGCTTTGCGAAACGTGCGTTGAATTAACTCAATTCCCCGTAATCACTAATAAACTGCAATGTTCCCTGAGAGGGGACATCCGAGTGATATGCTAGAATTCCGATGTCCCCTGAGAGGGGACAGCGGAGTGCAAAGGGTTAAATCTTCATTGTTTTCCCTGGCTTAAATGAGTCAGTCAGCGAAGGGAAATAGCTAATATAATAATTTGAGTAATTGTCCTGAGAAAATTAACATAATAATATCACAATAAAATCCTTTCCACTACCATATATTTGAGTAGTGAAATATCTACAGGATTAAGTGAAGTTAAGCTAAATAATACACCAGAATCAAAATTAATTAGGCCAAATTAAAATGAGAGAAGATTCAGAAACAGATCAAACTTTGAGCAAATCAGCTATGAAATGCTATATTTTAAAACCAAAAAGATAACAGCAAACATTACTAACATCTATAGGCAGAAACATGAAGTCTTTCAAAGGAAAGGGCAAAGATAGAACATATTAAGGTTCTATCCTTAATAAACAACTTGAAGTAAAATGATTTACCTGAATTTATAGAAACAGAATGGACAAGTACCCAGTCTCATAGCTCCCAATTCAGTACTCTTTCCATCATGTCAAAACAGTTGACCAAAATAAGATTAAATATTATAGAGTAGTACTTATTTTATACTGCTCTCTCTTAAGAAGAAAATGAATTCTAAAAGTATAAAACAGTGTACCAAGATGCAGGAAACATTTCAACTTCTTAGAAATATGTTAGAAAGACACAGCTAGAATATTACAGTATACAATACCTAGTAAAGTAACTACCAACTGCACTAATCCTGGAGTCAAAGGTCCAGATTCTAGGTTCTGTATGATACTGGGTTAGTCAGTCTCTGAACTTAAGTTTTCTCATCTTCTCCAAAGAGGACACACAGAGGGCCAAAGACACCTGAAAAGGTGCTCAACATCACTAATAGTCAAAGAGAGATGCAAATTAAACTCACAGTAACATATCATTTCACATCTACCTACATGCCTACTATCAATAAATCAACAACAAACAAATGCAGGTGAGGATATGGAGAAAAGGGAATCCTAGTGCACAGTTGGTAGCAATGCAGACTGGTGCAGCCACTGTAGAAAACAGTATGGAGTTTCCTCAAAAAATTTTAAAAATGGAACTGCCTTTTGATCCAGCAGTCCCATTTCTGGGAATATATCCTAAGAATCCTGAAACTCTAATCAGAAGGAATATATGCATCCCTATGGTCTCAGCAGTGTTAGTCTATATAATAAAAGCCTACTATGCTAAGTGTCCAGTCGTCTGTTCAACCAATCAAAGCATAATATGCTAACGGTATGCTAAGGCAGGTCTATGATGTGCACTTATCACCAGGGAGCAGATGGTCCGACTAGTAGGTTAACTTGCTGCTGGCGTCCAGCAGATCGAGACTGAACAAGATGGGCCAGACAAGCCCTGGAGCCTTCCCACAGTCCCTCCCCAACTCTGATGGTGCACTGGTGGGGGTCCCGCAGCCTGGTCTGTGCCCTCTTGCAATCTGGGACCCCTTGGGGGATGTCAGAGAACCGGTTTTAGCCTAATCCCGCAGGCCAGACTGAAGGACCCCACTAGTATGATATATGAATTCGTGCACTAGACCTCTAGTTTACAATAACCAAGATCTGGAAACTGCTCAAATATTCATTGGTAGGTGAGTGGATAAAAAAGTTATGGTATATTCGCATAATAGAATACTATGGAGCTGTAAAAAGGAAGAAATGCTTACCTTGTGTAACAGCATGGATGGACCTGGAGATTATAATGCTAAGTGAAATAAACCACTCAGAGAAAGCAAATACCATATGATCTCACTTATATGTGGAATCTAATGAACAAAATAAGCTGATAAACAAAACAGAACCAATGTCAGAATACACGGTATTCTGAAAGATGTCAGAAAGGAGGTTGGTGGGGTGGACAAGATGAAAGAAGATTAAAGAATTGCCAGAGAACAGATATACATAACCCATACATAACACACTGACAATAATGTAATTAGCGCCAAAGGTAGGGGACGATGGGGTCTAGGTGGAGAGGAGCAAAGGGGAGAGAAAATGAGGTCTCTCTCTAATAATGTCAACAATGAAAATATTTTTTTTTAAAAGAAGCTCTGGTGAGGGGAGATATATGCATATATGCATAGCCCATGGACACAGATAATAGTGTAGTGAAGGCCAGGGCGGGGTGAGTTTGGGGTGGAGGGGGCCAAAGGGGAAAAGCAGGGGACATTTGTAATATTTTCAACAAGATAAATAAAGAAAGAAAGCTTTGGAAACTGTTAAGAAGATATTACTAGCTTAAAAAATTCAACTAGAGCACAGTGTGGCTCAGTTGGTTGAGCATCAACTCATGCACTGAAAGGTCTCTAGTTTGATTCCTACTCTGAAATCAATAAAAATATATTTTTAAAATAATAATAATAATGATTAGGGGAAAAAAAAAAAAAAAAAAAAAAACCACCTAGCTGTGTGGTTCAGTTGGTTGGAGCATCATCTCATGCACCAAAAAGGTTTCGGGTTTGATTCCCAGTCAGAGCACATATCTAGGTTGTGGGTCCAATCCCTGGTCAGGGCATATACAGGAGGCAACTGATCAATGTTTCTCTTTCTCTCCCCTCCCCCTTCCTCTCTCTAAAATCAAACATATCCTCAGGCGAAGAATTTTTTTAATAATAACTAGAGAAAAATAATAATATAGGCAGTTTTTTTCCTTCTACCTGCTCCACCTGACCAGGGTTACTCTCCTTCCTATCTCTATAGAATAGAAGCAAAGTATGGTTTTCCCTTTTAACTATAAAAGTTTCTTTTAAACATTTTTTAAATAATTAATAACATTAACTTTTGTGAAAACATTTACTATTTTGCTTTTAATTTTGGAAATTAGTACCACTTTTTCTCATAAAATTATTTATTTCAGCTACTGAGTATCAAAATATCAGGACATATCCCTATTGGTATTCATTTCAAAATAAAAAGCTACTTCATTAATTTTTCTATTTATATATATCATGCTAATGAATCTTGTACAGGCATCATTTTCTCTTATACTGTGTAAAATTCACTCTGCCCTGAAAATCGCTTTTTGTTTCAAGAACTACCTGAAGGTGCTCCAACCCAAGCCAAACCAAGAACACCATCATCAAAATCTCGGTCAGTGAAGACATAGGCCAAACAGTAGTCATCATGATTCTGCTCAGAATTCAATTCCAGAAACTTCTCCACACCAATATTTGGAAAACGAAAGGGATTTGTGGGGTCCTTCTCATCAGCAGTAGTATTGATCTAAAATTAAAAAAAAAAAAAAAAAAAACAATTGTTAGCGGAGCCTTAATGTAAGTCTCTATTCACCTCCTTCTAAATCTGCCTGAACAATATGTTTGGAGTCCTTGGAAAATCAGGCCTCAATTAAAGTCTTCTTCGGTTGCACCTCCCAACCTCTGAGCTGATTTCAGAAGCCAAAAGGAAAAAAAAAAAAAAGGCAAGATGGAATGCGTTACATTTCTGAGCAAGTATTCACTAGATTGTTGAAGACTTGGTATGGAAAGACAAGTCCTTACTTCTAATCAAGTTCAGTTCCTCAAATTTATTCATCAAAGCAAGCCTCTTTTAGTGTAACATATTATCAATAGTATGGTGACAAGTATGAGAACATAAAACCCTGTATTTCAGCTATTAATAATTACTAAAACATAAAATAAACTTGGTTCTCCTTACAAGATCAATTTTTTCTCCTGGGTGTGGCAAAAATAATACATGCACACACATTTTACTGCCAATTCATTTCTCTTACTATTTCAGGTTGAGTTTCTCTAGAATGTTTCTTTTTTTGAAATACATATTTTACTAGAGGCCCGATGCACAAAATTCATGCAAGAATAGGCCTTGCTTCCCCCGGCTGAGGCACCAGCTTCCCTCTGGCACCTGGCACCTGGACTTCCCTCCAGCTGCTGGCAGGTACCCTGGACCCGGCCTACCCTCACAGCCCTGACATCATCTGGAAGGTTATCTGGAAGGATATCCAGTCTAATTAGCATATTATGCTTTTATTATTAATAGAAGAATGATTTCAAAGAGGAAGATAAAGAAAGAAACATTAATGATGAGACAGAATCATTAATCAGCTGCCTCCTGCCCCACACTGGGGATGGAGCCTGCAAAACAGGCATGTGCACTGACCTGGAACTGAATCATGATCTCTTGGTTCATATGTCGATGCTCAACCAGTGAGCCACACTGGCCAGGCTACAATGTTTCTTTTGACATTAGCTATTAAATTCCCAGTGCAGGTTCCTCCTTCACAATATAAAGAATTATGGTGTTCTGATAACAAACTTTGGCTAAACAAAAGTTTTCATTTATCAGCCTCTACTTCACTTCAGAGATCTCTATTTGTCCTTTGAAGTCCTAGAACAATCTGGCGTTCTTCAAATATGTCAGAGAATTACATATGATATTGTTGTTAGAGAATAAAAAGGGTAAGTATGATACCCTGTTTCCCTGAAAATAAGACAGTGTCTTATATATTAATTTTTGCTCCCAAAGATGCAATAGGTCTTATTTTCAGGGGATGTCTTATTTTTCTTTTCTTTTTTTTTTCTTTTTCTTTTTTAATATATATTTTATTGATTTTGTACAGAGAGGAAGGGAGAGAGATAGAGAGTTAGAAACATCGATGAGAGAGAGTCATCGATCAGCTGCCTCTTGCACACCCCCCACCGGGTATATGCCCGCAACCAAGGCACATGCCCTTGACCGGAATCGAACCCAGGACCCTTCAGTCCCCAAGCCGACACTCTATCCATTAAGCCAAACCGGTCCTTGCGGGATGTCTTATTTTTCCGTGAAAAAAAATATGGTACACATTTATTGTTAAATGAAAATAAAGGAAATTTATTACCTGTGAACAGTACGGTAGTACGGTAGTTGTCAACACAAACCAGACAAACTGTGAATCTTACAGTATCAAGAATTTACTCATTTATTCAATGACAATCATGTCATCATCTTCTGGAACATCATCATAACAATCCAATTCCTGAATTTCCTAGTGAATTTCTTGTGACTCCATTTCTTTCAGAATCAGTAGACCAAATCTCTCATGTTTAGTCTAGGGGGGGCCTTATTTTCGGGGGATGCCTTATATTTCACTCAGAAGGAAACCTGTAAGTAGGTCTTATTTTCAGAGAATGTCTTATTTTTCGGGGAAACACGGTAAAATAAGAATTACTGGTCTTTTTAGGATCGACACCTTTCAGTAAAGCCAAGGAGCTTAGAAACAGAATGGCAATTGCCTAAGGACAGATTTCAGAACATCTGACTTATCCATTAACAATTAACAAAAACAAAAATCAGTTTTGATCATCTAACACACATACACAAAAAATCAAAAAAAAAGCATGAGATATATACGAGGGCTGGTTCACAAATTCGTGCACGGGTGGGATCCCTCTGGGTGGCCTGCAGGGATTGAGCCAAAACCCACAGGCCAACACTGCCTGCAGCTCCTAGCTGCCATTCCTGCTCATTCCAGCCCCACACTGTGTCTGCCACAGGCTTGTGCCCAATCAAGAGAAGCTCATGAGATAGACAACGAAGACGGCGGTGTAGGAACACACTCCTAAACGGCTGCTGGGCACAAGTTCAAAAAAAAACTATAAAACATACGTCTATCTTCCAAAAATCAAACGAAAGCTGGCTGAGAGGAAGCCCTACATCTAGACTGAAAGAGAAAGAGGAGAATCCAGGGCACAAGCACTGAAAAAACTGACGTGGGGGGGCAAGAACACGATAAGGACTGGCGGGGGATCCAGGCTGGCGGAGAGCGATGCTTTCTTCAACCCACGGAGAGACAAGCGCCCAATCTCTCTGAAATCCAGTTTCTGGGGAGAAGCTAAACTGTCTGCCATCGGGTCAGAAAGTGAGGCTGCCTTGCTTGCAGGGCTGAGATTGTTTGCTGTGCTGTGGTGTGAGATGCGGGGAGACGCGGGGACGCCATCAGAGAGGTGGTGGACAGCAGCCATCGCTGTTGGCCACGCCCCAGCCTAGTGATGCCCTGAGACTCCGTCCCTCACAACACATCCAAGCTCCAAGCAGTGAACTTTGCATATAAATGGCCCTCTGTTGCATTTAGCAAAATTGCAACCTGGGGCAAACAGATCCAAGGAGGACAGGACTGTGGTTCAAGCTGTAGCTTCTGCAACAGTACTGGCCTCAGACAGTAGCTGAACTGCACCTCATTGAGACCCAGAAATAAGAGTTCTAGCGCTCAGTTTCAATCCCTCATACCCATAAGTGACACATTCGGGAGATGGACTCAGTGAGCACCAACGCCCCACTGAATCAAGGTGTGTCTCCAGCACAGCAGTTCTTCCTTTATAGACACAGCGGATCCTCACAGACAACTGGCCTGGAGGTCAATTCCTCCCAGTGTACCAACAGCAATCAAGGCTTAATTACACCAAGTCTTCGCACTAAGCCCACAAAGAGATATAGCAAAAGTGACCACCTCAGGTGATTGGGGAAGCTGAGCTACTGACCCCTATAGATCACCTACCACACAAAGCCACTCTATCAACACAGGGAGGCAGCCAAAATGAGGAAACGGAGAAGTATGATACGAAAGGGAGAGATGGAAGAGAGTAAACTACTGGACGACACAGAATTCAGAATCACATTTATAAGATTACTCAAGAATCTTCTAAAAACCTTTGAGAAACTTGATGAGACCTCCAAGAAGCTTGGTGAGACCTTCAAGGACCTTAAAGAGAATACCAAAAAAATGGAAAAGGACCAGCCAGAAATTAAGCATACAAAGTCTGAAATAAAGAATATATAGAAGTTCAACTATAGATCAACATGCCCCAAGAATCAAACCAAAGATCTGGAATAGAAGAAAGCAAAAATCACCCAACCAGAGAGGCAAAAATAAAGAAGAATCCAAAAGTGTGAGGATAGTGCAAGGAGCCTCTGGGATGGCTTAAAGCATACCAATATCCGGATTTCTGGGGTGCCAGAAGAAGAGAGTGAGCAGAATATTGAAGGCTTAATGGAAGAAATAATGACAGAAAACTTTCCCTACCTGGTAAAAGAAATAGACTTACAAGTTCAGGAAGTGCCCAGGACCCCAAACAGGAGGAATCCAAAGAGGAACACACCAAGACACATCATAATTAAAATGCCCAGAGCAAAGACAAAGAGAAAATCTTACAAGCAGCAAGAGTAAAACAACTAGTTACCTACAAGGGAGTACCCATATGATTGTCAGTTGATTTCTCAACAGAAACTATGCAGGCCAGAGGGAATGGCAAGAAATATTCTAAGTGATGAACAGCAAGAACCTACAACCAAGATTACTCTACCCAGCAAAGCTATCATTCAGAATTAAAAGTCAGATAAAGCGCTTCACAGACAAGAAAAAGTTAAAGGAGTTCATCAACACCAAACCATGATTACATAAAATGTTGAAGGATATTCTTTAAGAAGAGGAAGAAGAAGAAAAAGGTAAAGGTAAAAAATTATGAACAACAAAAAGGCATCAAATACATACCTACCAACAAGCCAATCTAAAAATCAAGAGAATAAAAAAAATGTGAAGGACAAAATGGACTGGTGAATATAATAGAATTTGAGACATAGAAAGGGATTGGACTAACAATTCACAGGGGGAAAGGGGTCTGAGTGGTGAGGGAAGAGATCGAACATAAATCTTACACCTATGCATGAAGACAGTGGTGGAGTAAGGGCGTGGGGTGGGGTTGGGAATCAGGTGGAGGGGTGCTGGGGGGGAGGGGGGAGAACACCTGTAATAATCTGAACAATAAAGATTTTAAAAAAATAAGGGGGGGGTGGGGAACTTGTGCTGCCACTGCAGTGCTAGCCAGCCATAAGCCCTGCATCTGGCACCTACCTAAGGAGAGTGGCTTATGGGATTAGGCTGAAACCAGCTCTCTGACATCCCCTGAGAGGTCCTGGATTGAGAGAGGGTGCAAGCCAGGCTGAGGGATCCCACCAGTGCATATCAGGCTGGGGAGGAACCCCAGAGGGCTACAGGGCATGCCTGGCCCATCTCGCTCAGTCCCAATCAGCCAGATCCCAGCAGCAAGCTAATCTACCAGTCAGAGCATCTGGTTAAGCAGCCTTAGCCTATCATTAGCATATTAAGCTTTGATTGGTTGTTATGTTGTTCTCCCATTCAGTCTATTTGCATATTATTCTTTTATTGTCCTATCTAATAAAGAAGGGATATGCTAATTGATCATCACGCCCTCACAAAGATGGCAGCAGCCACAGTCAATAAGAAGGAAATACACTAATTGACTGGCACACCCTCAAGGATGGCAGCGCCCACAGCCACGAGATGATAGCACCCAGTTCCCTCAGCCCCACCAGGGTGGACCAGCCACTCCACACACCTGACTCTGGAGTCCCCCAGTCTCCTCAGCACCCCAATCCGCCCACGGCTGGCCCAAGGCGCAGGCAAGCCTCAGATGGTGGCTGCCCAGCCCGCCCAGAGCCACCAAGGCCCAGAGCCACCAAGGCTCAGGTAACCAAGGCCAACTGAAGCTTGCGCTGGTGGCAATGGCAGCAGCAGAGTTGTGGTGGGGGTGTCGCCTTCCCCTTCTCACTGGGTTGCCTCCTGCCCCTGAGGGCTCCAGGACTGTGAGAGGGGGCAGGCTGGGCTGAGGAACCTCTTTTCCAGTGCATGAATTTTCATGCACCAGGGCTCTAATATAGGATACTAGAGGTCTGATGCACAAAATTTGTGTAAGAGCCTTGGCCCCGGCCCCTGCCCACTGCCGCTGCGGCCAGGGGGTCTCTGCTGCCTCTGCCTCAGCCCCCGCCCACTGTAGCTTTGTCGGAAAGGAAGGACATCAGAAAGTACATCTGGTCTAATTAACGTATTATGCTTTTATTATTATAGACATAAATAAATTATAATCTAGTCAATCATATTTAAAGAAAAATAAGAGCACGAGAAAACTTATGGCAATACTTTTATAAGATGATTTTTTTTTTAATCAATCTTTATTGTTCATATTATTACAAAGGTTCCTCATTTCTTCCCCCCTCCACCAGGTTCCCACCCCCCCTCCGTCCCCCCCCCATCCCCCATTGTCCTCATCCATAGGTGCAGTTTATGTTCAGTCTCTTATAAGATGATTTTTTTAAACCTCAGATTATTTACCTAGTTTACAAATTAAGATTCTTAAAAGCTATACACAATGAAAGAATTTATATGCAGAAATTTTTGAAATAATTATACTAATTTTTTTAGTAATGTATTATTTACCTATTTGTAATTTAATAATTAGTGGCTCTGGGTCGGCATTCTGAAAATGTGTCTATAGTACAACAAATAAGTTTTTTTGTTTTTGTTTTTGTTTTTGTTTTTAATATATATATATTTTTTTACAGAGAGGAAAGGAGATAGAGAGCTAGAAACGTCGATGAGAGAGAAACATTGACCAGCTGCCTCTTGCACACCCCCTACTGGGGTTGTGCCCGCAACCAGTGTATATGCCCTTGACCAGAATCGAACCTGGGACCCTTCAGTCCGCAGACCGACGCTCTACCACTGAGCCAAACCGGTTAGGGCTAGATTTTATTTTTAAATAATAAACCCAGGTATCCATTCTGTGTACGCACGTGTGTGTGTGTGTGTGTGTGTGTGTGTGTGTGTGTGTATAAAAGCCAAAAGTAAAGATAAAATGCATCAGTAAATATAATGTAAACTATTGCATGCATAAAAAAGCATGTAAACATGGTCCTATTGTTGTTTTTAACGTACTTAACTACTAAAACTCATTCAAAAAAAAGAATTTAAAAATAAATAAATAAAACTCCTTACTCTTATTCGTTTCACCATGAAACTGATGTTACGAATTCCAGAGAAGTCTGTGGTCTGATAAATTGTATCAATCGCTTTAACATGACTGGATATCTACAGATTGAAAAAAAGAAAAACATTTTAGACACAATGTTAAAATGTGAAAAAGACTGAATTTCCATCTCCCAAATCAAGAATTATTCATGTTCCACCACATTCAATTTTTAAAATGTCTATACCAAATACCAGATGAAAGAATGAAACAGATTAGTGAGCTGGAGCTAAAAGGGAAGATTCTGTGCTTTTCCAGATTCAACTCCAACCAAATCTGCACTCTTCTCAGATATATAAAACTTTGTTTCCTCAATCCATCCTATAATATGACACCTTTATGCCTTTTCACACGCTGTTCTCTAATGCCTAGGGTATCATCCTTCAGATTCAGCTCAGCTCAAACATCCCTGAGAACTTCCCCGGTAATATCAGGACACTCAGTCATTCTCTGACTTTGGTCTTTCTATTGCTGCACTAGTACAGTTTGGGTTGTTTTTTGTTTTTTTGTTTTTCTGTAAGTTTTGGGCTTTTTTCCTCCATACTTATTTAAAATATATTTTCATTTTTTTGCTTTGTTGACTATTTACTATGTACTAGACACTGTTTTAGGTGCTAGAGATATAAAGGCAAACAAAATAAAAAAGGTCTCTATAAATTTACAAAAATTTATTTGCCAGGGTGATGGATGGAAATAATAAAAATAAAAATACAAATTAAGTGTTCAGATTTTGCTGAATTTCAGGAAGAGACTAACATGGTAACAGAGTACAAAATAATTCTGTTTACCTACCTATCAACTAAACTCTCTGGCTTCTAAACCACTCTGTATACAACCTTCCCATCTTCACTTACAAAAAGCACTAGCTACCATTTATGTAAAATATTACATATATGTAATATTGTATATACATATATAAGGTGTCCACAAAATATGTATACATACTATGTCTGTAGATTCTATTACAATTTGAAAATAAAATATTTTTTAAAACACTGCCTTTATAATTAAAAGTGTGTAATATATTTTTGGGGACACCCTGTATATATATATTATTTTCAAATAAATTATATAAGCATACAATAGTCAAGAAGAAGCATTAACAGTGATGATTTCAAAAGTTTCCCAAGTAGCCAAACGTTGATAAAGAAAATCAGAACAGTGCTGACAAACTACATTAGTCATGCTGTCTAATCTCAGTTTGGCCTAGCAATCTTCTGAGTCTATTCCATTCTCAACAGCGGTGGTTCAAACATTTCTCCACAGGTTATTATATTTCACTAGAGGCCCAGTGCATGAAAATCGTACGGTGGGGGGGGGGGGGTGTCCCTCAGCCCAGTCTGCACCCTTTCCAATCTGGAACCCCTGGAGGAATGTCCGACTGCCCGTTTAGGCCTGATCTTACCAGGATGGGGCCTAAACAGGCAGTCAGACATCCCTCTCACAATCCAGGACTGCTGGCTCCCAATTGCTCGCCTGCCTGCCTTCTTGATTGCCCCTAACAACTTCTGCCTGCCAGCCTGATCACCACCTAACCACTTGCCTGCCAGCCTGATTGATGCCTAACTGGTCCCGACAGCCTGTTTGCCCCTAACTGATCTCCGCTGCAGGCCTGGTCTGATCCTCCCCCCAAAAAACTGCTCTCCCGCCAAAACCGGTTTGGCTCAGTGGATAGAGCATCGGTTTGCAGACTGAAAGGTCTCGGGTTCAATTCCGGTCAAAAAATGTACATTGGTCGCCGGCGCATCCTCAGTGGGGGGTGGGCAGGAGGCAGCTAGTCAATGATTCTCTCTCATCGATGTTTCTAACTGCCTATCCTTCTCCCTTCCTCTCTGTGAAAAATCAATAAAAATAAAAAAATTAAAAAACTGCTCTCCCAACTGCCTGGTTGCTCCCAACTGCCCTTCCCTACTGGTCTGATCGCTCACAACTGCCTGGCCATCTTGTGTCCACATGGGGTCATCCATCTTTGACCACATGAGGGCAGCCATTTGTGTGTTGGAGTGATGGTCAATTTGCATATTACTCTTTTATTAGATAGGCTAGAGGCCTGGTGCACGAGTGGGGGTTAGTTTGTTTGCCCTAGAAGGGTATCCTGGATCAGGGTGGGGGTTCCCTTGGGGTATGGGGTGGCCTGGGCAAAGTGCCTATGGTGGTTTGCAGGCCGGCCACACACCCCCGGCGACCCAAGCGGAGGCCCTGGTATCTGAGATTTATTTATCTTCAATAATTTAAACTTTGTAGCCTGGAGCAGAGCCAACCCCCCTACTTGCTCCATGGCCATAGATATTTTTGTTGGGATTTATTTATCTTCTATCATTGAAACTTTGTACCCCTGAGTGGAGGCCAAGGCAGGTCAGGGCTGCTGAAACTTGACTTCCTCCATCACTGGGGGTAACTCAAGCCTCCTGCTCTCTCCAGCTCTGTGGCTGCCGCCATTTTTATTGGGGTTTATTTATCTTCTATAATTGAAACTTTGTAGTCATGAGTGGAGGCCAGTGCCGGCCAGGGTATGCAGAAAGCTTGGCTTCCTCCATTGCCGAGGAAACCCAAGCCTCCTGCTCTCTCCATGGCTGCACCCATCTTGGTTAGGTTAATTTGCACACTTGCTCCTGATTGGCTGGTGGGCGAGGCTTGTGGGTGTAATAGAGGTGCAGTCAATTTGCATATTACTCTTTTATTAGATAAGACACTTTACTGATGTCCCATCATTATCCACTTATGCCTTCCTTAAAGAGTAACGTCTCTTGCCAAAACCGGTTTAACTCAGTGGATAAAGCATCGGCCTGCGGACTGAAAGGTCCCAGGTTCGATTCCGGTCAGGGGCATGTACCTTGGTTGCAGGCACATACCCAGTAAGGACTGTGCAGGAGGCAGCTAATTGATGTTTCTCTCTCATCGATGTTTCTAACTCTCTATTCCTCTCCCTTCCTCTCTGTAAAAAAATCAGTAAAATATATATTTTTTTAAAAAGAGTAACGTCTCTTTATTTCTGACCTCAATCCTTTACTGGGTCTTTTTCACATCAATTTTTCTTTCTCTTATATCTTACACTGCTTTCCTACTGGATTATTTTCCTCTCCCAACCAACTTCTCTTGTAATCCCTACTTCCTTTTCACTCCCAAATATTTTATATTATTATAGGCCCCCATATATTTTTTATTTTTCACATTTCTTAGAATCTCACTGCCAACCCATTCCTTACTGGTTTGCAAATGTCTTCACCTTCACAATTCCATTGAGAACTTGCCTAAATATCATCCAATAATCTCTAGTAACTGAAAATCAACTACCTTTTATACTTCTTCCCTTATGCCTAGCATAGCCTCCTTGAGACATCAGCTCAGCTCAAACATCTATATACCATCTTCTTAAAAGAAGTAATTCTACTTTTTTCTACCATTACTTTTAATTTATTTAATTAAAAGTATAAATAAAACTGTAAGATATTTGAATATCTTGATATATGTGTACACTGAGAATTCCTGCCATCTAACACATTTAATATCTTTATATCTTTGATATCTCTGGAAGATGACACTATTGTCTGTGCATTTTGCTTTGAAACTTTGTTTCTAACTTCGCTAATTATTTAATACTACCTCTTTAACTGTTTTGTTTTAGCCCATTGCTTCTCTTCCTCATTCTATTCACTATATACAGACTTTCTTTCCAGGTTTCTTCCCTTTTGATTTCATTCTCTCCCTTTCATTCTCTATTCTTTTAATGTATCACTTTATCTATTTTATACCAAGAAATTCCATGCAAAAGCTCAAACCTCTCCCAAGTTCCAATATCACATTTTCAATATCCTAATGGAATGACCACCTGGCTTTTAGACATCTAAAATTAAGATCATCACCACCACCAAAATGAATTCACCAATTATACAATGGCACATTCATCCTCTAAGTCTCAAATCCTTAAAGTCAAAATGTATTCATCAAACTCTCACTGGATACCTTCAACATGATAATATATTGAAAGGTATATCTAAATGCTTTATACTTTAAAAAGGATTAAGATATAAATGCAAATAATAAGGTAACTAGAAAGTGCTAAGTACAATGGGAATACAGAACAGAAATGAAATACTTCTTGTTGAAACAATTCCTCTATCTTTCCTTCTGTTAAGATCACAAATGAAATTCAATCCTCTTGGAGAGGGAGGGATAATGGTAAGATATGTACACATATAATACCTTAATAATAAAAATGAAGAAAAAAAAAGAAATTCAATCCTCTTTTGAAAGCTAAGCTCGAGTGTCATCTCCTTCATGAAATAATTTTCTTACACCTCTCTTTTGAATGACACAAATATCCTAATGGTCTTTCAGTTATTTGTATAGTTATCTTACATATTTCATCATATAATAATTGAAAATACATACTTTTTTAAAATATATTTTATTGATTTTGTACAGAGAGGAAGTGAGAAAGATAGAGAGCTGGAAACATCGATGAGAGAGCGCCATTGATTAGCTGCCTCTTGCACACCTCCTACTGGGATATGCCCGCAACCAAGGTACATGCTCTTGACCGGAATCTAACCCAGAACCCTTCAGTCCCCAAGTCGATGCTGTATCCGTTGAGCCAAACCGGTTTTGGCAAAAATACATACTTTTTATTTTCCCCAAATGAGATATGTGCTAACTTTAATTTTAGAGGAAAATATAGCTACCCTGTTTCCCCGAAAATAAGACAGTGTCTTATATTATTTTTTTCTCCCAAAGTTGCACTAGGTCTTATTTTCGGGGAAACACAGTATTAGAATACAAAAGCTCCTAAAATAGTAGGAAAATTATAAGTACCTGAGCAATCACAGCATCTCGTGTACCATAATATTTAAAGAATAGATGATCAGTCTGAATATAAAGTTGACAAGTATTTTTTTCAGCTACAGTTGTACGTTTTTTCCTCAAGAGTTCTGGACCATTATTAACAGCATGTTCTTCTTTAGGTGTCTGTATGTCAAAAAGAGAGTCATTTCTAATCATTAGCATGCTTCACTATTACAATTTTATATAGTACATGTTATAAACAATTTCATATTCTGCTTTATTATGAGTAGACATCATTAAAAAATTTCATATTATAAACAAGGGTACACATTATAAAATATTTCATATCCTGCATTATGTAACACCAAAGACATTTCCCCATGTCATTAAAATTCTTCATAAACATTACTTTCAGTCTCATAAAATCTACTGCAGAGATTACTTATTCAAGAGATTCTTTCACTTTTACATATTTTCAAAACATACCTTTTAATATGTAATCATTTGAATATAAAGTAAGTCTTATAGTTTATAATACTTTAATATCCTTCTTCCACCTCACCTCTATAAACCCAATGTATTACCTACTTCTGTCAAATTTGTCTCCTAAATGCTTAAGAAACATGTCTCCATCACAATAGTCCAAACTACCCTCACTTATTACCTAGAGTACTAGAATAAGAGCAATGTAATCTATCCACATCCACTATTAGCCTTTAATCTATTCTCTCCAGTGTTTCCCAAAGTGTGGTACACGTACCCCCAGGGGTAAGAGAAGAGTTTGGTGGGGGTACGCATTGCACCAAAGTTTGGTGGGGATATGCACTGCACCGTGCTTAGCTGCGCCTAATTCTACATTCTCATGAGTATGAGGGGTACTCAGCATTACGAAAATTATAGATGGGGTACACATATGTCAAAAGTTTGGGAAACACAGTCTATACTGTAATCTTTTCAAAATCTTCTCGAAAAAATTACTCATCTCTATAATATATTTCAATGACTTCCCATTGCTTTAAGAGTAAGGTCCTAAATTCTGTATATGCCATCAAATCAGTACTGCAAGCTGTAATTACCTGTCCAATTCCTTCCCATTCCATATTATTTCACAGAGACACCCTACTGCATTACCCAACTCTAGCCCTCTTTCCAATCCTCCAACACACGTCTGGCTTCTGCTAGTCCTTGCACATGCTGATGGTACCTCTCCTGATCTAACATCCTCTTTCAGACTTAGCGAAGGTCAATTCATCCATTATACCACCTCATAAAATCATGCACCCATGTCTTTACATAGAGTAATCTTATAATTTATTGTATGGTTATTTGATTAATTTCTATCCCCAGCTCAAGTCTATTACTTCATGAGTTCTAGAAAAAAGATACTTATCTCTGTTTGCTTATCACTATACTAGAGGCCTGGCCCAGGAATTCATGCACAGGTGGGGTCCTGCCGGCCATCCCTGATGGGGACCGATAGGGCCAGGCTAACAGGGAGGTGGGGACACGGGGGGTTGGCCACCGGCCCCTATCCCAATCAGGGTGGGGAAGGAGCTGATCAAGAAAGTTGGCTGCAGCATTATAGCAACCAGTCATCCCAGTCATTCCGTTGTTCCAGTTGCTTGGCTTTTTTTTTTTTTTTTTTTTTTTAAATATATTTTATTGATATTTTACAGAGAGGAAGGGAGAGAGATAGAGAGCCAGAAACGTCGATGAGAGAGAAACATCGGCCAGCTGCCTCTTGCACACCCCCTACCGGGGATATGCCCGCAACCAAGGTACATGCCCTTGACCGGAATCGAACCCGGGACCTTTCAGTCCGACGCTCTACCACTGAGCCAAACCGGTTTCGGCCTTGGCTTTTATATATATAGATTGTTCTCACCTAACACACTCTTGGCAGGCAAACTGAATGCTCAAATCAGTAGTATTTGTTTAAAGAATTACCACTGCAATTAAATCCAAATACTTAAATAGTTGTTGACATGTAAAAGAATCATTTTAAATGAATTTCGATGAAACAATAATAGAGAATTCAAATTAAATTCTTGAGATGGGCTTATAATGCTATTAATTTCCCTCTTAGAATTGCTATCCTGTGTCTCATAGATTTTTGGTTGTTGTATGTTTTCAGGTCATTTTTTATTTCTTCCTTGATTTCACTGTTAACCCTTTCATTGTTTAGTAACATGTTATTTAGCCTCCAGGTCTTAGTGTGTTTTTTCAGTTTTTTTCTTGTGATTATTAAATTCTATTTTCATACCATTATGGTCAGAGAGATGCCTGATATGACTTCAATTTTCTTAAATTTATTGAAATGTGTTTTGTGTCCTAACATGTGACCTATCCTAGAAAATGTTCCATGAGCACTTGAAATGAATGTATATTCTGCTGCTCTGGGAGAAATTCTCTGAAAATATCAATTAAATTCATCTGACATAGTGTATAATTTAAGGCCACTATTTCCTTGTTGATTTTTGTATGAAAGATCTATCCAGTCAATGGGGTATTAAAATCCCCTACTGTGAGTTTATTATTGTCAATCTCTCCCTTTATGTCCATCAAGATTTGCTTTACATATTTAGGTACTTCTATGTTGAGTGCATAAATGTTTACAAGTGTTATATCCTCTTGTCAGATTGCTCCCTTTATCATTATGTAGTGTCCTTTTTTGTCTCCTACTATATATAGCCTTTGTTTTAAAGACTATTTTGTCAAATGTAAGTATTGCTACCCCAGCATTTCCCCATTTCCACTTACATAAATTATCTTTATCCGCTCCTTCTAAATAAAATGTTTAAATGAGAAAAAAATGTCTTTTATATTTGCATATTTGCAATGTTATGCTCTTCACTTCTTTGCATAGATCTATATTTCTATCTCTATTCCTTTTCTACCTGAACAACTTCCTTTTAACAATTCTTAAAGTGTAAATCTCTTACAAATTCTCTCAGCCTGTTTGTGTAAAACAGATCTTTAATTTGCCCTCATTTTTGAAAATTATTTTCACAAAATATAGAATCCTAGTTTGGTAGTTTTTTCCCTAGCACATTTTGAAGATGTCAATATGTAATCTTCAGTTTGCACTGTGTAATGAGAAGTCAGAAGTTATTCTTACAATTGTTCCCCTGGATATAAATGTATCTTCTTTTCTCTAGCTACTTTTATTTATGGTTTTCTCATTTTCAGTGATTTCCAATAATTTGACTGCAGTATGTCCTACTAATACAGTTTTCCTTGCATTTATCCTACCTGGGTTTCATTGAGATTCTTGGGCCACAAATTTTGGAGACATTAAATATTTGTAGACATTTCAAATATTTTTCCTGTACCGATTGTCCCAAGACCCCAATTATTTTCTCTTTGTGCTTAGATCTGGATAGTTTCTATTTTTTATTGTCCTTTATTTGCCCGTGTTGTCTTCTGTAGTAATAATTTGCTCTTAAGCCTATCCACTTAACTTCAAATAAGAAAATGTACTTTCCAGTTATTCAAGTTACATTTAGTTTTTATTATAATTTCTATTACCTCCTCTTTGTTTTCATATTTTTCTGTTATTCTTTGAATGTATTTATAACCATTATCTTAAGTCCTTCTGTGCTAATGCTTGTAATTTCTGGTTCTGTTTTTATCTAAGTGGTTTTTCTCCTGATTATAGATCACATTTTTCAATTTTTTGCATCTAGTAATATTTTGTGAATGTTGACACTGTTAATGTTAGATTATTGAGTATCTACATTCTGTGTACTCTTTTTCATTGCTAATCCTCACCCTAAAATATTTTTTTCCCATTGATTGTTAGAGAAAGTGGAAAGGAGGCAAGGAAGAGGAAAGAGAGAAACACTGATGGGGCCAGGGATCAAACCCACAACCTAGGTACATGTTCTTGACCAGGAATCAAATCCACAATCCTTCAGTGCTAGGGTCAGCATTCTAACCAATGTGCAAAACTGGCCAGGGCTATGTACTCTTTTAACAAGTATTACTGAACTCTGTTCTGACAGACAGTTAATTTACCTGAAAGTCAACTTGATCTTTTTGGAGTTTGATTTTTCCGCTTAGTTAGGGCAGGTCTCCAGTAGCCTTTAACTCAGGGGTGAAATTAGCCTTCCTCTTAATATTGGGATCTCTACAAAGTATAATTTCTAATAGTACATTGATTCCACAGTTTTTCTTTAGACTCTGGTAATTTCCTCATAGAATTTCACCTTATGCATGTATAGCTTAGTATCCATCTAAAACTAAAGGAAACAATTATGCAGATATCTGGAGTTTTTTCTCCGTGTAGCTATCTCCTGTTAAACTCTGCCTTCTTGTACTTTGACCTGTCTGTTCAACTCGGTAAGAATACTGTGCACTTTTCGCTTTCTGGAGATCCCCTTCCCTGTGCCACACCTGAAGTTTTGCCTCAAGTTATGGAGTTGGGAAAATCACAGAGATATTTATTTTTCCTTCTTACATCGCATATTGTCCTGTCTACTTCCAATATTTGAAAACAACTGTTTGATATATTTTGTTTAGTTTTCATGTTGTTTTCTACAAGAAAGTTATGTGGATACCCATTATTCAATCACAGCTGGAAAGAGAAATCTTTACTTAATATTTTTACTAAGAGCTTCAATGTTTTCATTTTAGACATTTAATACTTTAATCTATTTAAAGTTTTGTTTTGTTTTACATATGGTAAGAGATAAAGATCAACTTCATCTTTTTCTAAATGGTTAAACACTTATTTCTGGTTCCATTTATTCAACCATCTGTACTTTTCCTCACAGATTTGAGATTCTAACTCTACCACATAACAGTTTCATATCTGTATTGTTTTCATCTCTATGTTAAGATCACACTCTCAATTAATATAATAAATTTTAATCCCTTCTAGGGCAAATCTCTCTCGCCTGCTCATCACCTCTCGATTGGCCCTACTTCTTAGTGCTTACTTTTCTGTATAACATTTTAGACCCATCTAAGTGCTATAAATAACTCTCTTGTAATTTGTATCAAAATTATGTTTAACCTATTAATCAACATGGAAAAATTAATACTTATATGATATATTATTTTCCATTAACAAGGTATGTCTATTTAAAATTAATCTTCTTGCTTGGCCACAGTGGCTCAGTGGTTGAGAAGTTCATGATTCTATTCCTGGTCAGTGCACATGCCCAAATTGAGGGTTCAATCCCCAGTGGGGGCATGCATGAAGCAGCAAATCAATTATTCTCTAATCATTGATGCTTCTTTATCTCTTTCCCTTCCTCCCTCGCTCAATAAGAATATATTTAAAGCCAAAACCGGTTTGGCTCAGTGGATAGAGCGTAGGCCTGCAGACTGAAAGGTCCCGTGTTCAATTCCAGGCAAGGGCATGTCCCTTGGTTACAGGCACATCCCTAGTAGGGGGTGTGCAAGAGGCAGCTGATCAATGTCTCTCTCTCATCGATGTTTCTAACTCTATCTTTCTTCCTCTCTGTAAAAAAAACTAATAAAATATATTTTTTAAAAGAATATATTTAAAAATAAAAAAGAATATATTTAAAAATAAATAAATAAAAGTAATCTTAATACATCTTATTTAGTTTCATAATTTTCCTTAATTAGGTCTTATAATTCTTTGTTACATTTATTCTTTAATACATGATATTCTTGATACTATTAACAATGTCTTCTCTTTTGTTACATTTCTGATAGTCTATTACTGGATATAAAGAAATATAACCTAGCCCTAAGTGGTCTGGCTCAGTAGATAGAGTATTGGCCTGCAGAATGAAGGGTCCCAGGTTCGATTCTGGTCAAAGGCACATGCCCCAGTTGCGGGCTCAATCCCTAGTAGGGGGTGTGCAGGAGGCAGCCGATCAATAATTGTCTCTCTCCCTCTTCCTTCCTCTCTGAAGTCAATAAAAATATATTTAAAAAATAAAAAAAGAGAAATGTGACCTATTTTTGTATGTTAACTTTATTATCTAGCCACTGTTAAACTATGCTATATCTAGCAATCTGTAGTCTTGTCCTCTCCACACTGCTGATATCTTAATACAAATCACTTTTCTACTGAATACCTGCAATAACTTCTAATTAGTCTCCTAGTCTCTAATCTTACACCTCACCCTAGGATTAAAATTATTTACCAGGCTTACTGTCTCTCTGGCCTTTAATAACTCTAATACCTCTGAGGTATATAAGCATACCTCAGACGGGTCCAGATCACCATCAATAAAGTGAGTACAGCAATAAAGTGAGTCGTAATCTTTTTGTTGGTGTAGGGTCTTGCCTTCATTTGGTAAAAAACAACATCTGTGAAGTGCAATAAAACAAGATATGCCTATATACTATCTTTCTATCTATTCATGCACAATCTAACTCTTACTTATTCTTTTAGTTTATGACTACTGTCCTCAATTACTTCTCAGTTTAGATTAACAATTCCTCCTACTTATAGACCATCATTCCATACTTAATCCTCTTCTATCCCTTACTCTCCATTGTTTCTCTGTGTCTCCAAGCAAATTATAAACTTTTTGAGTATAAGTTTTTGGTCTTAATATCCACATATTCCTAGAACCAGCAGTTTGACAATATGACATATCAACACATAGTTTTTCCATTAATGCAAGAATAAAATCTCACTTATACTTAAAAGTCCCACCTGAAACAGAATCGTTTGTACATGTTGCCAATCAAGATACACACAAATCTGCATTTATAACTCAAATAGCTCAAGAAACATTACTCTAGCCTACTACTTTTAGAAAGGATGTCTAAACTACATGATAAATGTTTTACCATAAAAATTTTTTCATTTTAAACTTGCTTTGAATTTTTTTTAAGAGAGAGGAAGTGGGAGAAAGAGGGGAGGGAAGGATGGAAGGAAGAAGGAAGGAAGGAAAGAAGGAAGAGAAGGAGGGAAGAAGAGAGGGAGAGAGGGAGAAAGGAAAAGGTAGAGGGAGAGAGGGAAAAGCATTGATGTGAAAGAGATACGTGGACCGGATGCCTTCTGCACACGCCAAGACACAGCACAAACTCAAGCAAATGCCCTGACTAGGAATCAAGTCCACTACCTTTTGTTGTATGGGATGACATTCCAACCAACTGAGCCACACTGGACAAGACTAAACTTATGTTTTAAATAACTATAAACCTATCCCTTATCACAGGAAAAAGGAGATTAAAAAAAGAATAAAAGAACAACAGTCAAATGGCAAAAAAATCTTACAATTAAAATATCAACAGCATTGTGATTATTATTAGGGTGGCTAATGATCTCAGTTTGTTTAAAGACACATGACTTTCAATGTTAAACTGGGAAGCCCTAGGCAAACAAGAGGAAGTTGACCAGTCTAATTTTTATACTAATACAAATAGTTACATTTATAGAAAACACAAGTTCAAACTGACTATTTTTTAAATTAAGACTATGTTTCAGACATGTAGTGTAATGTTAATGAGACACACAAATTTGTTTTCAAATCTCACCACTTTATTATAGGCAAGTTAACTGGCTGCTTTAAGCATTAAAAAAAAAAACACACACAGTATTTCTCCAGTGTTATAAATATTTCAGAAATTGTAGTACAAACATATTTAATGCAGGAACACATGCCCAAGTTCATTTCATCTTTATTTCTTAAATGCAAGCTAGTATTAAAATCCTTACCTGTGTTACTTCCTCTACACCAGTCATCTGGTACTTCCTCATCCTTTCAAATACTGAATGATCTGCACAGCCCCCCTGTGGACCATATTTATGGGGGTAGTCTAAAACAGAAAAAAGAAATACTTTTTTGTCACAGATTTAGGTACTATGAATTATCTTATAAATGAAAATTTAACTGTCATAATATAGGAATAGAATTATGCTAGGCATTCTAATTTTCAAACCTGGTACGTTCCCAAGTTCTCCCTCAAAAAAACATCTAGAACTTTTATCACATAAATAACTTGTTGCCGAAATCGGTTTGGCTCAATGGATAGAGCGTCGGCTTGGGGACTGAAGGGTCCCGGGTTCGATTCCAATCAAGGGCATGTACCTTGGTTGCGAGAATATCCCCAGTAGGGGGTGTGCAAGAGGCAGCTGATCGATGACTCTCTCATCGATGTTTCTAACTATCTCTCTCCCTTCCTCTCTGTACAAAATATATTTTAAAAAATAATAATAATTTGTTAATTCTATAAACAATAATAATTGTTTAGTCTGAATTGAACTTTCCCCACCTTCCCCACTTTAGATATACAGAGCATCTTAATACTGCAATTTACTTTATTTTGTAGTGTGTAACTTTCCCTTCAAAAATATTAAATTCCTATGCTGCAAAGCACAAAGCCACCTCAATCTGAACTACAATTAAGCTAATATAATGTTATATTTGGCTTGAATTCCTCCCATGAATACCAAATGGCCTCAGAAACAAGCTCTATGGCACAGTAAAAGCAGGCAGTTTAAATTTATTCAATGTATACTTCAGGCAAATACTTTATAAACCAATAACTATTTTATCACCATTCTTCTCCGTTCATAAGCAATGATTAATTTATCCTTAAATGAGTTGGGTCTATTTCCAGATAGCTGTTCAATTTAGTTTAGTCATTTCAGTTTATTCCACTCTCTCAAAGTTCACATACTTCTCCACTGTTGAGGTCTTCCTTAGATCATGAACATACTTTATATTTCAATCTAGTAGCCATAATTAAGAGAACTTTCAAAATAAAATACCAAGACATGGGTGAAAGGGGAAACACTGAAAAATCCTTAAGTAGTTTATAGAAGCAATCCACAGAATTGTAATTAGAAACACTGCAGGTAGTTAATTAAGAAAAATCTAGAACCTAAAGTGCATTCTAGTAACCTATTTCATTGAAAACACAAGTTAAATAATACTACAATACAAATCGAAACTGGAATGTAAAAGCTAGATATTATCAATAACCTATCTACACTGATAAACAGCTCTGATTTTACATTTTAAACTAGTTTTTATCAAGGGTCAAGACTGCAACAGCTGTATAATTCTAATCAATTAATGTGAAAGAAATTATAGACTTAAAAGTTAGTATTTCCATTAACTAGTATATAGTTAATGAAGCCAAAGATCATAAATGGGTGCTAACACCACTGAGTGAAAGATGGGAGGTAACAGGATCTTAATAGTCTCTTAAAAATAGCCGAAACCGGTTTGGCTCAGTGGATAGAGATAGAGCATCGGCCTGTGGACTGAAAGGTCCCAGGTTTGATTCAGGTCAGGGGCATGTACCTTGGTTGCAGACACATCCCCAGTGGGGGGTGTGCAAGAGGCAACTGATTGATGATTCTCTCTCATCGATGTTTCTAACTCTCTATCCCTCTCTCTTCCTCTCTGTGAAAAATTAATTTAAAATATTTTTTAGAAAATAGTCTCTTGCCGGGACTAGTTTGGCTCAATGGATAGAGCGTCGGCTTGGGGACTGAAGGGTCCTGGGTTCGATTCTGCTCAAGGGCATGTACCTTGGTTGCGGGCATATCCCCAGTAGGGGGTGTGCAAGAGGCAGCTGATCGATGACTCTCTCTCATCGATGTTTCTAACTCTCTATCTCTCTCCCTTCCTCTCTGTATAAAATCAATAAAATATGTTTTTTAAAAAAGAAAAAAAAAAGAAAATAGTCTCTTAAAAATAACCCCACAAAGAGACTGAACATAAGCTGTGCACCTATGGATGAGGACAATGGGGAGTGGGGAAAGGGCAGAGGGTGGGATGGGAACCTGGTGGAGGAGAGCAATGCAGGGGGGGAGAGGGAGGAACATTTGTAATAATATGAACAATAAAAATTTATTTAAAATAAAAAAATAACCCCACAGATTACTTAATAATTATAAAGGAAAAATGTACCTTTACCTCAAAGCGATATAATAATTACCATTTCATTTACCAAGTGATCAAATTAAGCATTACCAATAGGACAACTTGATATTATGTCCCTCCTACTGTGAAGCAGTTAAGAAACATTCAGCTTCACCTGAATGCAATATTCTTGCCAAACTCTCTATTCCTCTCCCTTCCTCTCTAAAGAAAGAATATACCACAAAGACTAGAAAGTCTTACAATACAATAGGCCAAGTTTTTCAATTCTCACCATTTAGTTAATTTGGGGTATTATCACCACTCTACTTCTTCTCCTACTATAATTTTAACCTGAAAAATGTCCCAATGAGTCTTTCCCAGATTGTTAATGGAACCTAGTTTGCCTGGCCCACCAGTTAAAGTTCCTCTATGTCAAGAACACAATACAGAGGAGAAACCAATATGGCGGCATAGGTAAACAGCTAAACTCCTGCCACAACAATTTCAATACTACAACTAAAAGACAAAATAGACATCATCCAGAATCACAGGAAGGCTGGCTGTGTGGAAATTCTTCAACTAGAAGGAAAGATAAAAGCACACAGAGACTCAGAAGAACTGTAGAAGGCAGAGGTACTTAGGCGCATGTGTAGTGAGCTGGCAACTAAATACGTGGCTGGCTTTCTCAACAGGGAGGGAGACAAAAGCTCCCGATGGCTCTGATCTCCAGTTCTGGGTGAGATTCTGAGGACTCAGACTCATTCTGGGAGAAACTGAATTATCTGGCAGCAGGCAAAACTCGAGGACAACTTTCTCTCAGAGGTGCTTGCAGCAATTACCGTGAGACACTGAGACTCAGGGGCCTCTTAGGGCAGGGCTGACGGGAAGCCATTGCTGTCTGCTCCGCCCTAAGACTCCGCCCCATTCAAGCTAAGCACAGAGGCTTTTGCAAGTCTTGTCTCATAAGGGTGTCTCCAGCATAAAAGTTCTCCCAGCACAGACACAGCTGATCCCCACAGCCAATTGGCCTGAAGGCCAATTCCTCCCAGTGATACTAACAACAATCAAGGCTTAACTACAATAAGACTGTGCACACAGTCCACAAAGGGGTGCACCAAGAGTGTCCACCTCAGGTAAGTAGGGAGATTGAGCCACCGGGCCCTATAGGACACCTAGCACACAAAGCCACTCTTATCAATTCAGGGAAGCAGCTAAAATGCGGAGACAAAGAAACAAGTCACAAATGAAAGAAATGGAGGAAAGCAAATTACTGGATATAGAAATCAAAACCATGTTTATAAGGTTTTTCAAGAGTTTTCTAGAAAAGTATAATTTAGTGAGATCCTCGAGGATATGAAAAAGAACCAACTAGAAATTAAGCATACACTGACTGAAATAATGAACACTATAGATCCAAGAGCAGACTAGAGGATCACAAGAATCAAGTCAAAGATTTGAAATAGGAAGAAGCAAAAAACACCCAACCAGAAAAGAAAAAAGAAAAAAGAATCCAAAAATATGAAGATAGTTTAAGGAGCCTCTGGGACAACTTCAAGCGTAACAACATCAGAATTATGGGGGTGCCAGAAGAAGAGAGAGAACAAGATACTGAAAACCTATTTGAAGAAATAATGACTGAAAACTTCCCCTACCTGGTGAAAGATATAGACTTACAAGTCCAGGAAGTGCACAGAACCCCAAACAAACAAACAAACAAACAAACAAAAAATCCAAAAAGAACCACACCAAAACACATCATAATTAAAATGCCAAGGGCAAAAGACAAAGAGAGAATATTAAAAGCAGCATGTTTTTCTCTTGCTGCTTTTAATATTCTCTCTTTGTCAATTACCTACAAGGGAGCACCCATAGAACTGTCAGCTGGTTTCTCAACAGAAACTATATAGGCCAGAAGGGAGTGGCAAGAAATATACAAAGTGATAAATAGCAAGAACCTACAACCAGGTTCGATTCTGGTCAAGGGCATGTACCTTGGTTGCGAGCACATCCCCAGGAGGCAGCTGATCGATGTTTCTCTCTCATCGATGTTTCTAATTCTCCATCCCTCTCTCTCCCTCTCTGTAAAAATATATTTTTTAAAAAAATTTAAAAAATAAAATAAAAATCAAGTGAATAAAAATCTGATGAACAGAATAAACTGATGAATATAGTAGAATCAAGGGCATAGAAAAAGGAGTGAATTGAAAATTCTCTAAGGGGTTGTGGGGGTGCGAGAAAAGACTAGACAAAAATCGTACACCTATGGATGAGGATGGGGGGGGTGTAAGGGAAGGAGGAAGTGAGGGCAGAGGGTGGTGGGAACCAGGTGGAGGGGTGTTGGGGGGGGGGGGGGGACAATTGTAATAATCTGAACAATAAAGATTTTTAAAAATGCAATACAAAAGCAAACTCATAGACAAGTGTATATATGCACTTAAGTTCTTTATTCAGTTAACAGACATTATAAGTCTTGGAATTTTCCTAATTGTTTTAATCTATAATAATAAAAGTATAATATGCTAATTAGACCTGACAACCAAATGACCTTCCAGACGTCATTCCAGACAAAGCCGGGGCTGCCGAAGCAGGGGCTGCCGAAGCAGAGGCAGACGAAGCAGAGGCAGCCGAAGCAGAGGCAGCCGAAGCAGAGGCAGTTAGTGGTGATCAGGCAGGCAGGCGAGCAGTTAGGGGAAATCAGACAGGCAGGCAGAGGCAGTTAGGGGTAATCAGGCAGGCAGGTGAGTGATTAGGAGCAATCAGGCAGGCAGACAAGCAATAAGGGGCAATCAGGAAGGCAGGCAGGTGAGCGGTTAGGAGCCAGGGGTCCTGGATTGCAAGAGGGATATCCAACTGCCCAAACAGGCCTAAACCAGCAGTCAGATATCCCCAAGGTGTTCTGGATAGCAAGAAGATGCAGGCCGGCTGAAGGACCCCTACACACAC